GTCCTATTATTCATATCCCTCATCATCACTATCAGTGTCATCATCACCCACACACTCACCTCCATCATCATCTTCATCATCGTCATCTCATCACCCTTATACCACAGGCATCATCTTCATCCTCTCCTCCTCAGCTGCACCTGCATCCTCATCAACCACATCACCGTTATGTTTATCTCCTTTTCCTCATCATTCATCATCATCATCATCACCATCATCATCATCATCATAACCCACTAAACGTGCAAATTTAATCACCAGTGTACTATAATCATCATCTTCTTTGTTTTATCTTGCTTCACCGGTGCTCATGCAATTATGCATCATCATCATCATCATCATCATCATGATCATGTTTATCATCTTTATCCTCCTCTCTCATCAGACTCAACTCCAACAAGATGTTACTCTTCATTATCTTCATCTTCATTTCCATCCTCGCCGCCTCACTTGCACCTTGATCATCATCTATATTTCCTGTTGCCTCACCTTTACCATCTTCACCTTTCATCGTCATCGGCTCCACACGATGACTATAATAACCATCTTTATTCTCATCATCATCACCACAAATAAACAGACCCAAATAGCAGCTATCAACTCAATGACTTCTGAAACAGGAACATTTTGATGAAGATCAAACTGCTGCTATAAATGGATTAAATATCAGAAGATAAAGTGCAGTGAAGTAAGAGAAGACATTTATGGCCTAATGGTTTGCATGGCAGGCTATTGTTTCTAGCCTATTAACACTTTACTATTACTATTCTGAAAAACAAACTTCCCTTTATAGTCTGGGAATTCTCTCCAAGGGTAATTATTAGAGCAGACTAATAAAAGAGCATTTATTAATGAGAAAGAGACCTGAAGAATGTGTTGAGGTAGGTGTCTGTCACAGAGCCAGTCAGTGTGTTAGTCATCACTTTTTGACGGCAACTGCAGAGCCAAATGGGGCTTATTAGATCCAGGGCCAAGTCAAGATGTTTAGGACACATGGTTGAAAGCCCAATTTGTTTATATGAAACTGTAACGCAGCAGAGGAGTCATCTCTGTTGGCAATGAGATGTAGAAAGAATCACCTACGTTTTCATTTAGGGGAAATGGAGACGTATAAATATTTAGTAAGTACTGGCAGGACTGGTCTTGGCTCTGCAGTGGAAACCAGACTTTGCGTCCTCATATAGAAAGGACTGCATACTGTAGGTTAGTATAGTACTCTGGATCAGTGGTTAACCCTCTAAACTAAGGCTATGTTCACACTGCAAGCCTCAGTGCTCAGTTCTGATTTAATGCTCAGATCAGATTTTTGATTTGGGCCACATATGAAAGTGGCCCAAATCAGAACTGAAAAGATCATGTGACTTGGACTGTTCACAGATTTGGGTCTCTTTGGTCTGCACTCTGAACGCAGCCAAAGATATCTAGGGCTGTGACTATGTTCTGGTAGTTTTGTCTGTAAAATGTCTAATGTATAATTTCCCCACAACCCAAAGGTGATGTATTCGACTAACCGAAGATATTTAGTTTACTATCATATATGACAAAGAACAGCAGACATTCCTGACATTTCAGAAACCTGAACCAGCAAATATTTGGCATTTTAAGAAAATGTATTAATTAACTAATTGTAACCGCTGTAACGTTATATTAATACGTACTTATGACCCATCACATGAGTGTGCACGCGAGTTGTGAGCAGTTCAACCAAAGAGCAATATTTCCTCTCAGATTCTTTCATTTGAAGGAATTTTACAGGCCTAAAGGGATAAGAAATATACAGTATTTCACAAGAAAAGTCAAATACACACAATCTTTCGTAACAAAAATGTTTCTTTTTATTCTTTCTTACCCCCCTAATCATCTCTTGACCCCTCAAATACATCTTGGGATCATTAGGGGGGTCCCAACAGCCAGATTGGGAATGACAGGTCTACTCAAACTACAACATGACCTGAAGAAAAAAAAACAGCCTCACTACTTCTACAAGAGAGAAAAACATACAGAATTAGAAAGAGAAACAAAGTGAGAATAAGTAATGTGCTGGGAAGCCACACACATGTGTATCAGTCATTGTGTTCAAAGGTGTGTGTGCTTGCACGTGCACACCTGACCTCAGAGGACCTTGGCAGCCCTTAAATCAGAAAGCATAAAATCCATTCTTACACACACACACACACACACACACACACACACACACACACACACACACACACACACACACACACACACACACTTGAACACACAGTAGTTGCCCATTACTTAAATGACTGAAAGACTATATTCATATTTTCATAAAACAGCCTGCTCAGGTTTCTGAATAAACCATTAGTAGAGCAAAGAGCCTTCAAAACACATACTCAAACATCACACAGTTTCACACGGACACACACACACACACACACACACACACACACACACACACACACACACACACACACACACACAGTAACAGAAGCATTTACCGTCTGTCCAAATCTGGTCGTTGATTAAAGCCAAATGTCTTTGAATGCATGGAAATAGAGAGACAGAGACGAAGAGGGATAGAGAGACAGAGAAATAGAGGGATAGAGAGAGAAAGAAAGAAAGAAAGAAAAAGAAAACAGAGGCACACAGATGTTTGAGGTTTAAAAACTGTGCCAGACTCTCAGCTCTCAATCAGTCAGTAGAAATCATCAAATATACCAAAATATCTCTTTTTTTATTCTTTAAACTAATTCTGTTGAATACTTCAGTTTTTAAATCAAAGCTACAACAAAAACCTCAGGGACTAACTTAATTTTCACCCGGATTTTATTCATTTACTTTGGACTCTTAAAGGGAAATTTCTGCATTTTTCAAACTAGACCCGATTTCCCACGTTTTTATGTCTAAGTGACTAATGGGGACAACAAGGTTTGAAATTGGTGCAGTATTGAGTAAGAGCGCTGCAGCCGAGACACTGTCAATGTAACTCCTCTTAAAGTGCTTGTTTTTGCCGCTGACCGACTGTTGTTACAAGTGTCTGACAACATTACAGAAACCCTAAAGAGATAGACATTTTTCTTAAAGAATAAGATGTTTCAACAAAGTAGTTTGGGTCCGAAGTAACTCTTTAAAACATTACACACAATAACAGAAACAAACAAACTGATCCAGACCGAGGTAGACCAGCACCTCCGTGTTCTGCAAGGTAAAATTATAGTTTTTGTCAATGGAGTCTGGTGGCTTTGAACAGAGTGCTATGAAGGCTGTTTCTGGTTAAACAAAAAGGATCTTGTTCCTTTAACAGAAAGGTCTATCTCTGTAGAGTCATTTCCATATTATAATAACAATCTCATCCTGTTTGTGGCTGTACATTATCGGTGTGCAATTGCTCATAAGGATTACATTTGTAGCCCGTTTCACAGCTGCCGGCTGCAGCGCTCTGGCTTCAAAACTGCACCAATTTCAAAAATTGTTGTACCCATTAGTCACTTAGGCAAAGAAAACATAGAAAATAGGGTAGAAAAATAGCAAAGTTTCCCTTTAATCTACAAGTATTTCTAAAATCCTGGCTACAGCCCTGTAAGCACACTTGTTGTGTCAAGTACTGTATGTGATAGGGTTGTACTGTCTAGTCTCATTCACTAAGAATGACATAAAGACATATTTGCATGTGCACACTGGCTTTGTTGTTTCTTTAATGTACACAGAGAAGATTGAGTTTCATGTTAATGCTAATGAGGGAAGCTATACTGCTACACATGTAGCCCACTGATGATGAAATCCTATGACATCTGAACCTTCATCGCAACATACCACATAAACACATCTTATCTCAACTAAAGCCAGAAGAATTAACCGTCTCTATGAACTACAACACAGAGAAGCTGTTTCCAATTCCCAAATATAACCTTTATGTATTTAACATGTCACTGATCTAATCCAAACTGTGTCATCTACTGAATCCCAATCCAATCCCATTAACTTTTTCTGTCACAATTCTTACATGTTGTTATCATTCCTGTCGAAGATTATCGAAGCAGTCCGAGATTATTCCCTGCAGCTGGCACTACTCACATCTAATCTGTTGGTTGTCTGATTTCTTTCACCTTCAAAATCTTCAACAGAGCTGTTTCTAAAGCCGTGGTCCAGGGACCCAAAAGACGTGGCTCACTGTGACTGAGCAAAGGGAAGCAGGGTGTTTCTGAATGGAGCTACAGTGTCACTATGTGGCTTAAAACTGCAATTGCATAAAGGATATAAATCTGTAGTTTCTGATACTTAAACTGAAGCTGTCAAATAATTGTGAAGTACAATATTTCCCTCTGAATTGTAGTGGAATAGAAAGTAGCACGAAAATAAAAGACTCAAGGACAAGTAACTCAAATTTGTATTGAAGCACAGAACTTGAATACATGTATTTACAATCCACCACTGATTAATTCAAATTGTGTACTAGACACTGATTCAGTCGGTCTACAGCAGGTCAGCCGAACATGTAAAAAAGCAGACTGGTTTCATTTTCATTTATATATTCTGCCCCACACACACACACACACACACACACACACACACTACAGCATCTTCTGTTGATTTACTGTCTGGTTGTATTGCTGGAAAAGATCATGGAGGCTACAAGATGCAATATAATTTTCTGTGAGTGGAAAACTACTGACTTAACTGCTGTTACAGCCTTTATAATACGGTGTAACCTCGGTGTTGTTTGGGATATTGTGCAGCTGCAGGAGAGAACAGGTTCTCAAAAAGGTCAAGATAACCCGCACTGACTGATACACACTCCCAAATGACCTTCTGCTGTCTCCTCCTCCATTGTGAATGTCTCTCTCTCTTAAGGAGACACATATTTTTGCATGCTGTGTGTGTCTTCGCCTCCAGAACAACTCAGATTCTCCCGAGTTAAGAGCTAATACTGAGCTCAAGAACAACAACCAAGGGCGCAGACCTCCAGTCCAATCCGCGGCGGTAATGTAACGTTAGCGTTTAGAAGCAGGAATAGTCGCAGTAGAAGAAGAGAAAAGAGGCGGAAGTGGGGCGGGTGTTTGTTGTTGTTTAGGGAAGCAGTCGGCATTTGAGTTACTTACTTAGCTGGGATTTACACATTTAATCCTACAAGATGTGTTTTATTGCCCTGAATTAATGTACGCGAACATTTCAGACTACAAAGAAGACAGATAGCTTGTACTGTTGTTGTTGTTTTGTTGTTGTTTTCCGTCAGCTAGCGTTAGCTTAAACGGTAACGATTCAACTTTAGTCTTTTGTTTGTTTGTTTGTTTGTTTGTTTGTTTGTGTCTTAAATCAGCTCAACATGTAATATTCAGTAACGCTGGTATTAATAATAATAATATATAATACATTAGTGTGATGTGGATTTAAACACACAGTCATGTTTGTGTCATTACACAGTGACACAGTATTTAATCATTTGATATTCACATTTTATTTTGTCTCTGATTAAAATGACTAAAGATAATTCTGTATTAGTTAGATATACGAAGAAGGAACGTAGTCACTAAGATCCATGTCTGCTCTTCAATATCTCATTCATAGGAGAATGGGTAAAAAGTCAAAGAAGAGAAAGCGCAAGAAGTTGTCTTCATCCTCGAGTGAAGAAGATGAGAAGGTGAGGAGGCGTTCAGCACTGTTTACTATTGTTGCTGGGGGCTTTTGGTACAGATAAGATCCTCACAGTATCAGTATTGTGATATAATATAACGCTTATGTTTGTCTGGAATGTTTTTTTGGTGCTTTATCACCTTCCTGCAAGAAATCATGTTAAATAATCAGATCCAATATTGCCATTAAACAGTCCCTTTCATTGATTTGCAGTGTTGCCTAGAATAAACTCCAGTCAGAGACAGTAAAGTTAAAGCTACCACAGTTTAGTACAGCAAAATCTCTGCAGACAAATTTACATTGTCTCATGGAAGTCTGCAGCTAACAATCTCTTTCCATTGTATGTTAATCTGGCGATTCTTTTTCTCAATCAATCAATTATTCATTTTGTCTATAATATGTGATTTAATCTGAAAATAGTGCAAAATAGCCATCACAATTTTCCCAAAGCAGAAAGTAACATGTTCATATTTCTTTTTTTTTTTGTCCTATTTGAGAAGTATTTCGCATTATTGCTCAAAAAATGTCTAAAACTAATAAATTCATCAAGTTTTAGTTTTAGTCTCACATCTATATATTGTCTCAACCATTTTCTGTCAGCAAGTGTTTACTCTGTACTCTCACAACAAGCTGTTCACAAGAGATTTAATGTTTTTTCCCATATTTTTAGACATCCGAGGAACACGATGTTTCCAGAAATCACAAAAGTGCCAAGAAAAAGCGATATGTCAACACTCAAGAAAGGTTAGATACTCTATACTTACCAGCCCATTATTGTTAATATTGTTTAGTTAATTGATATGTTTTTAATGATCTCTGATTGTGATATTTTTTCTGTTCTTCTAAATGTAGCTGTTCCACAAAAGATGTCTCCCAAAACACCCGTCAGATCAAAAAGCCTGTCTACAGACCGACAAAAACACAAGCAACAGACCAGAATCCGGTTAACAAGGAAGAAGAATGTAGAAAAAGAAAAAGTGCTGTGTCATCCCAGTGGCATTGGTCCAGTAATGCTAAAACGTATAGTTCAGGGAAAGATTATACTGTCAGTGGGAGTGAGACTGGGGAAAAGGGATCCTCAAAACCTACAAACACCAACAATGCAGGTGCAGTTCCTCAGAGAACAGAGGAGACTTCTAAAGTCAGCTTAGAGGAAAAGTCTTCCCATTGGAGCCCATCCAAATTAAAAGAGCAGCTAAGGAGTCCCAGTCTGGTTTCTGCTGAACAGAGAGAAAAGGTGTGTTTTGTACTGAAGAAGAAGTGCAGAGCTGAGAAGACTGGACATGACAGCAGCACTATCAAGACCAGGGAACCAAGCAAGACCTCCTCCGTCTCCAAGGATTCTGTGGAGCGGAAGAGAAGGGAGCTGGTGAAGGAAAAGTGCAAACGGCAACAAGAAAATAAGTTTACAGCCCCAAGGAGCCTGTGTACAGAAGCAAAACCTCCCTCTGCATCTGCCACAAAGCCTTCCACTCCAGCCAAGCACACTACCTCAGTTAGCAGCTCAAATGTGGAGAAGAATGTCACTTCGATCCCAGGGAATATCACACCAGTGTCACATAAGACTGCTAAGTCGTCATCTGCTCAGCAACAAGTATGTTCAGTCCCATCACCTGTGCCTATTAAGTTTAAAATACCAAGAAAGGTTCAAGCAAGGCCAGTAGAGAGTAGCACCAGTGAGGAAAATGATCCTGTTTCTACAACCAGAAATCTCCAACGTGGGACTGAGCTTTCAAACTCAGGGGCCTCAGTTGGCAACTCCAAGCAGGAAACTGTCCAACAAGCTCACAGCTGTTTGGATTTTACTCCTAGTTTTCCATCTCAAGGACAAGATAAGAGGTCATCTCTGTCAGGCCAACTCCCAGTTTCGTATGATACAGTCACAGAGCCGTGGTGTGACCAGGTAATAACAAGCATTGAAAAATACATACAAAAACACATGAGTGTATTGTTGTTGTTGCAATGGTTCATAATGGCAGAGAGGATATTTGTATGTTGTTTGTTTTAATCTGTAGATGCAAGTGGTTGAAGAGCTTCATCTCGCCCGCTCTGAGAAGAGATTGGAGCTGAATGTAATGCAGAGCTATGGGGAACTCACCTGTATGGACATAGACCCACCAGAAGATGGCGCTGTAGACACACACTGTAAGTTTTATTGATTTCCTGAGAGATTGTAAATTGGGTAGACGTTAGACACTCATCATAAGTATAAACTCTTCACTCTTGGGCACCCGGTTAGAATCCGATCTGCGGCCCTTTGCTGCCTGTCATCCCCTCTCTCTCTGCCCCCCTTTCCTGTCTATCTTCAGCTGTCCCTGTCTAATAAAGGCATGAAAAGGCCAAAAACATTGTGAAAATGTAGTCTTAAAATCAACAAATTGTTAAGTTTAAAGTTGTATGTCTTGTAAGGACCTGACATTTAGTGTGATTGGTCTGAAACTTGATATATAGTTAATAATTACAGAACCTTTTTCTGCCTCAGAGTGACAATATATTGACAGAGTAAAATCTGTCTAGTCACATTATGGCAGTTTAATCTGTGGTTTGGTGCTGCAACAAAATTAATGAACTATAAAATTACTAAAATGCTCAAAATTGGATTTTTCAGTGGTTTCTGGAATCAGGTGTCCAAATATATCCTGGTAAATGTTGCAGTCATTTTAAGAACAAAGAGTAACCCCACTGAGGCAAATGAGAAAAAAGATAATGTAAAACATAAGCTCACATAATAAAGTAATGAAAAAATGTAATAACATTCTGGTCTGTAAACCTCACAGGCACTACACTTTCACTGAAATTGCTCTGCATATGATTTAATTTATTTTATTCATTTGTTAACTTCAATAACAAGCAATTCACTATTCCTTGTCTTTTTACAGGCAAACAACCCCCTCAGCAAGACCTCATCCTTGTTTTGGACACCAACATTCTCCTCAGTCACCTGGATTATGTGAAAAAGATCATATCTCGCGGCCTTGGAGGTGTTTAAAATGATTTTAGTACTTGATACAGAATGATTTCTGGCTTTTTCATCATTTCTTCAGTTCTTGCTTTTTCCCTCACTTCATTTTCTCTTAGCCGTGGGCTTCCCTGTAGTCCTGATCCCCTGGGTGGTGCTCCAGGAGCTGGATTCCCTAAAAAGGGGGAAAGGCCTGTCAGGTTCTGTGGCCCACCTTGCCACCCCTGCCATCTCCTACATTTACACCTCGCTGAAGAGCCGGGAACCTCACCTCTGGGGGCAGTCTATGCAGCAGGCCGCCGGGAGCAACTGTGAGTCGTTTGAAGAAGGAATTTTCAGTGCATTGAAAGTTGTATTAATTTATTACAACCAAGGATGGAACATAAAAGTTAAGGGTGGTGATTGTCTCCATAACCTGTCTAAGAGCCCATATCTGTCTATATCTTTCTACTGGGGACTGTTGGGTGTTATCTTAGACAAAAACATGATGGCTGAGCAGGCTAATATAAATGTCCCCCTTGGTTACAAAAGAGCGTGTATAAACATGACAGCAATTGCAGGCAAAACAAACACTTAACAGGGAAGTTTTTGCTTTTTCTATGGGTAAAAGCATCACAATAGAATTATATTTCCAGTTCTTGTGTGTTCTTTGGCTGTAAAAATTTTGTTTTGTTCAAGCCTGGTCCTTGATTATTCTTATTATATTGAGTTTGCATAATTTATTTCTTTGCAATTAAAACCAGTAGCCAGTAGCTTGACCGTGGCCTTTCTAACTACAGCCTTTCATTCCATGAATTAGTAAATTTGCCTCTCTTTGCTGCTAAGCAAGATGGTGGCTCATCAGTAGCAACTTGGCATTCAGTGTTTTGCCCAAGGATACTTCAACAGTGATTAGTGAATGACCTGCTCTCCCTCCTGAGCCACAGTCGGCCAACACTAACATAGACACTAGATGGCACTGACACTAAGCTGGTCCTCCAGAATTCATCATCATAATATACACTGTGTGCATCTTAAGGGCAGGGTTTACCCATGCATAAGGTATAACTGTATATATTATAGACCAGACTTACATTTTTCAACAGTGGTATGAGGATCCCTTCAAAAAGACGTGTGATAAAGGAGATTAAGCAGGGATATTGTTTACTATTTTAAGTATTTAGGAGCATAAATGCATTTAGTGTATCTGACCTAAAATCTCCATCTTGTGTCCTTCATCTTAGAATCTTCCTCCTTGTCTTTAAAAGAAAAAAGATATTCTGCACTGTTGTGTCGTGTGCTAACATGCTTACCATGAGCCATCAGTGGCCTGAATTAAACATGTCTCTTTGTCCTTAAATGGGTGTCATGTCTCTCACTCTTATCTTCCTCTTCTTCTCCCTTCCGCTTTATCTTTTTACTTCCTTGTCCCCAGATGGTCTTAATGCTGAGAATAATGATGACAGAGTGCTGCAGTGCTGCCTGCAGTACCAGAGTCTGTACCCAGAGTGTGCTGTCATCCTATGCACGTGAGTTCCCCCTCCCCCTTCGATATACTGCCGCTGCTGCAGTGTGTGTGTCCTCTGCAAATAATGCACATGCATGTGACTATGAGTGGGTCCAGCCAGATAGTTCCAGTTGGGATGAGAGAAAGAGAGGGCCAGACAGAGTAATTGAGCAAGAATAGATGTGCTGAGCAAGAATAGATGTGCTGAGCAGGGAATTCTGAGTTTAGTTCAGGGATTTTTTTTGGCTCACATAGTGAAGTGACCATTGTGTTCTTTCACTTTATTTTTCCTTTTGACCTATTTCTTTGTCTACTACTATTTCCAGATGCTTTTATTGTTCATTTTGCCAAATTAAAGGAGAAATTAGTGGGCAGACATTGGATTAGTCAGATACTTCTGTATTATGTGTTAGCCACCAAAACATCCAATCCCAGGCTGCTGTAATAGAAGTGATTGAAGCGTCTTAATGTTGCATTGCATCATAGACTTGCCTGATAAAACAAAAAAAAACATGTTATGCCCTCTTTCCTCTCCAGCAATGATAAGAACCTATGCAGTAAGGCCCTCTTGAGTGGGGTGAGGGCCCTCAGCAAGAATGATCTGGAGGCAGAGGTTGGGAGATCTACACATGGCTTTCATCCTCTAATAAACATTAAGACTTCCATGCCACCTCTCATCAGCCCTCAGGTCTCGTCACCAATGCTGAACATGAACTATACAACAGTCCAGCCACACAGTCAAGAGAGAACAGGCCTTTCTGTAGGACTCGTAGAGAAAGGTGAGCCAGGGATTAATGTGTTCTTCCTGCAAAACAGGAAATTACTTGGCATATTGCATCATGATCTAATAGTTAACTGCACATACCGTCCATGCACTTGCCATGTCTGTCCTGCCCTTCCAACTTTCCTGTTTTCTTTGCTTCACTCCATCTGTATTATATAGCTATATTAAGAACTAAAAATAGAAACTCACACTCTAAGAACAGTTGGTATTACACACACTGGAAGGTGCATTTACAGTGAAACAGCTGTCATATTACCTAGTGTGTATTTCTTGCTGCCATATGCTCCTGCCCTCTCCCCTGCTGCATATACACACGTACTCTGGTGTAAATGATACCTGTCGGCCTGCATCATGTCTCTACTCATTTACAATATGTTTGTATGTAACTGATCACAGATAACAAGCGGCTGAGCAAAAGAGAGGATGAAGAGAAGACAAAATGTCTTAGTGGATGTGTTTCTGAATTAGAAGACTGCCTGCGAGAGGTGCTGTCTGATGTTTTAGAGGTGGAAATGAAGGCCGCTTATGATGACCTCTGGCTAGAGGTAAAATTGTGTTTAAATTTATGTTTAAACCATATTTTATTGTTGTATTCATTTCTGGATGATAAAAGGCATTGGTTTTATCTTTGCATGAGTTTAAGGTATCTTGTTGGTTATCTTAAATTAGATTTAGATGTGTTTTGGGTGAAACTTTATGGATCAAATCTCCTTTGGTCATTTTGTGTGTGCTATACAGCAGTCTAGCGAACATACAGATTATTATTTTTAACATATTTTTCATGTTGGCTATTCAGTGTGTGTTTTCTTCTGTTACCAGATAGTTTATCTAAAACCACCATGGACTCTGCAAGATGTCCTGCAGTGTTTGAAAAAGCACTGGATTGCTGTCTTTGGGGACATCGTCCCACGCAGGAAACTGCAAACTGTTTTAAATCTCATTGACTTCTTCAACTCAGGTATGTAGGTCAAAGTACTGTTGTGTATTTCAGTGGTTTTCTGATGAGCACATATTTTCAAAATGTTTTTTTTTCCTATAAACAAAAACAGATTTTGTTTAAATGTTCAACCAAGTTTCATATTTAGTTTTGGGGATTTTGTCATAAATCCTGTTACAGGTGACTTATACATAACAATAATGTCTAAATGATTAAAAACAGCTACGAAAAAAAGATAATACAAACATATGATACGTAAAACAGATAATAGTGGATCGTCTTGTCAGGTAGACGTTTCTAAATGTAGGTTAGTGTAAACAGTCTCATCTGTCTTGGCCATAGTCCAAACACTGAAACAGTCAGTGTACAGTTGTACAATAACTTTAGAGAAATAAGATACCATAGAAACTAGTATAAATGTAGATTTAAAGCCAGTAAAGAAATTAGCATTTTTTGCCACATTGTTCAGACAGCTAATTCAAGTCCGTTTCAAAATCAGCTCTTCTTTAGTTGCGTTGCCATAAGCTGTGATTTCCAGTATAGCTTACACTGTGTGCAGTATGTCAGCTCTTAAGATCTCAGTGTGTTGACCTCTGGCATTGTTTTATTTAGAATATTCTCTGTTGCTGAGATTTGGGAAGGCTTGATAACCTTTGATGCCAGTTTACCAGGAGCTGATTTTAATCTTATTTTGAATGTGAACAATAATAAACTTGAGATACTACTTAAGATATGATAGATAAATATTCATATCTGTGAAAACGGCCAAGCTGAGCTACATGAGGTGTCTAAATGCAAAGATATTCTTTGTTCTGTGGGCAGTGGTGATGAGGTACTGAGTCATCCCCCAGATAAAAGCCTTACTCCTCTGGGGTATGACGTTGTCTGCCCTGCACTGCGCTAGAACCCTACAGAACTACATAAAGAATCAGGTCATCTGCTAAAACGGGACACTCAAATGTGTGTCAGAAAGATGCTGAGTCGCCCACTGCAGCACTTCTTGCTCTGGATCTGATCGCTGGATCTAATTACATTATGCTTACAGTGCGGTGCTGTGTGTGCATGCGTGTGTGTGCGTGCGTGTGTGTGCGTGCGTGTGTCTGTGTGTGTCTGTGTGTGTCTGTGTGTGTGTGTGTGTGTGTCTCAGCCTCTCTGTCCACCTGTGTGGAGGTGACTGCTACAACACTGGCACAATACTTTTTCATCCATCCAAGAATGTTAATAGCTCAAACAATGTAGTTTTGCCATTGCTCTGTGTATCCTTGGTACACTAGCATGATTTTGGATTTCTTGGTACCACGCAGTCTGGCTCTGTGCCAGGACTGTGAGAGTAGGGCGAGGAGGAGGAGGGGAGGAGGAGGAGGAGGAGGAGGAGGAGGAGGAGGAGGGATAAACTGTATGTGAGGCTAAGAACAAAATCTAGGAGTGGAAAAGTACTGCCTGAAATTTTCTGCTCTCCCTTGAGCAGGCTGTGAGTGTGTGTATATGTGTAGCTATACTTGTGAGGACAGCCTCCTAAAAAGGGACTAAAGCTGAATTTTAGGGCTAGAATTATATTTGCTTAAAGGTAAGTTAGGTCAGGCCTAGATAATGGTATCGCCTGTCCTGGGGCCCAGTAGATTTATGATGGCACAGCCTGACAGCCAGTGTAGGACTTCCATTGGAATGCTTTCCCAATTTTTGGCACGTTTTAGTGTGTATTGATAACAGTTCAGGTTACAGTGAGTGTTATTATAATGGTTAGATATCTGTTATGATAAGGCACCAGGGAATTAATGTAAGTGCATACAATGTCCGTTCAATTATTCAGTATAGCAAAAATAACAGTGTATCATGCAATGTGTTGTGTACATTGTTTTGCAGTTCTCACAGTCAGTCTGAGCTGACTAGTTTTTGGCAACAGCGTCTCACTGCCTGGCTGTTTTGTTTTCCATATTTGTATTCATAACAGTCCTTCTCACAAGGTTACACACAGAAAACATCCTCTCATGAAAAAGGTGTTTGCTATTCAAGTAGCACCTCTTCCCTTATGCCTAGGTCCACCAAAAACACCAACAACTGAGTGTATGTATGCCTTTATGTGCATCTACCTGCACACATCTGATATGTATCTCTTATGTTTTTACTCAGGTATAACAGTGGACTGTAGCACTACCTTAACCGCCCTCCAAGAAGCAAAGGAGCTTGTGAAAGCATTTCGGAAAAGTTCAAGCCGTGTTCCCAGTGCCATCTCCTTAATGGACAACATTTTCAATAAGCTACAACCGCAGGTCTGCTAGGAGCAATTTAAAATTTAAGTGTATTTCATGCAATCAGAGCTGAAATTTATTCCACTTCTGCTCTGTTCAAAAAGTGAACTCTTTGTCCAAGATTGCACAGAAATACACAAAATATTATACCCTGTTTTGTCTTGTATATTGTGTCTATACCCAGATTTAGGCCTGTCACACTAACTACTTTTGTTAGACAATATATCATACCAGAAGATACTTGCAATAAAAAATATTATTGTCATTTGAAGACCATTTTGTACCACCAACATAATGATTAACACAATAATGCAGGTACACTCTTTAAAAGAGCAATGCATGTTTAATTCTTAAGAAATTCATACATTGGAATTGAAATGTGGAAAAATAAAATATCCTAATTAAATAAAACCCTGCAGTTTATTCTGGCATCATGTTGGCTAAAATGTTACATTTACATTATTTTGTAAACACAACAGGCAATATTGAGGTCATCATAAATTATATGTTATATGAATCCATTTGTATAATAGCTCAATCTTTGTGTGTTTGTGTAGGGGGAATCTCCTGCCTCTGATGTTGTCATGAATGACGATGAAGATGAAGACAAACAACCCACGGCTGCTCCGGTCTCTCACCTGGAAGTGTGGGCCGTGTTTGAGAACATCTGGTCTAATGTGTGTCAAATAAGGTGGGTGTAAAGAGATTAGATTAATGCAGTGTTGGGATGATTACACTGCAGTGAGCATTTGAGGATGATGTGTTTTTACCTATTGTCACTAATAATTACTGGTTCTTTTTAATGGAGCAAACCACTTTGTTTTCACCTGGACCTTATGTCACCCAATGGATAATATAGAGCACAAATGGGGGGAGAATTTGCAAGAACAAAAGCAATACTTCGGAGGTTGTTTATTTTTATATTTATTTCGTTTTTCTTTCCATTCTGCTGACCTCTAAGGTCATTTTTTTCTGTCATGTTTCAGCTTGGAAGTGTTCAAAGCTCTAGGCTTTGACCCTCACGCTATGCTGAACGCTCAACCAGTGGGAGGTCCTCCACCACCACAGGATGCCTTGGTCTGTTTGCACAAACTGTCCTCCATGGTCTCACAGCTGCTCCAAGCCTTCAGCAGGTACCTCAGCCCACTCATAGCACTGCTGTCAGTCTTAATGTTATATTAAAAATTAATCACATCAGCTTGTATGTGTTGGGGAGAGGGGGTCACGTGTGGTGATGAACCCACAAAGAATTATCACCTCGGCTGTTCCCCTCAGCTCACTGTTATAGTTTTCCAGTCTGTTTTGTTTCATGCTCCCCGTTCTGTCTTGAAAAAGCTTTAAAAAACAACTGCACGCTACCTGGTCAGAAAAGTTTCGCAAGTAGCTGGAGATTAGCAGCTAAAGAACCAGGGGCCTCATTTATAAAAGTTGCTATGCACAAAAAAATGTGAGTATGTATATTTTCCCCCAAAAGATGAGATTTGGGGCACCCTGGTAGCTCGCTAGGTTGAGCACACACCCCATGTACAGAAACTGTACTGTCACTGTCCTCATCGCAGTGGGCCCAGGATCGATTCCAACCTGCGCAGTTTCCTGTCACTCATCAGCTTTCATTCATTTCACTAATAAGACTATTATTAAAAGCCCCCCAAAAATGAAAAAAAAAATGTTTTGATTTATATTTATTTTTAAATTTAACGATTTTATACAGAAAAGGGTATACACTTCGACACATCTCAGGTACTGTGTTCACAGTGCAAGGGCCATGCATTACGGTTTTTATATGTTTAAAGAGCCTGAGCCCTTAAGCATGAGAATAAAGTCCAGAAAGTTTCTGAGCAGGAATCTATGTGGCACCTCTGATTGCTTCCCTTGCAACACCCTCCGTTACTATTGTGTCGATCTCTATTCGTCATCCCACTCGTCCATCTGCACTAAACCCTCTGACTTAACCTTTCTCATACCTTTATACTGTAGGAACATCTTAAAACTGTCCTTCACCTGTCCTTAACCAGCCTACTCCTTCCTGTGTCCTGGTTATGTGTCGTGTGCTCTCGTAGCTCCCAGGCCCTATTTGGCATGTAGTGTGGGTCAGACTGTAATCTGCTTGACCTTGTAGCTTTTGCCTTATCACCTTTCCCATGACGCAACAGACAGCCTCTACACTGTAGCACTGTTTAGTTTCTCACAGTGCCTTCGTGAACAAAAATGCTAACAGTTATCCCTGGGACACCTTCACCTCCTGTAGGCTTTGACAGTGTGTACTTGGTCCTGCAGTGGTATCTGAAAACATTTGTACTTTTTAAACAGATTTGAACATCCAGCACTCACACTGGGGGGAAGCTGAGTGAGCTTTTTTTTTTTTTAGTGTAATGAGGAACCATAAAGAATTGATACAACTGGAAGATGACATATCAGCGGAGCTCTTAATGGTTTTTTTTGCTCTTCTTCTATCTTCTTTGATAATCACCATGTTTCTCAAGCTGACATCAGTCCCTTGCAGACATGTCCTTCAACTTCTTTTTTCATTAAGTCTGTGATGATTCACATTGCTGTCATGACAGGTGCAAGAAAAGATGCCACAATTCAGAACTCTTTCTACTGACTTGATATAATAGAAATACTTTAGGAATGCGGTCAGACTTTATTAATTCTCAAGTGTTCACAATCTCTGTCTGATTAATTATTTTTACCTTTCTTTTGCTCTCTCTCTCTCTCTCTCTCTCTCTCTCTCTCTCTCTCTCTCATACATACACATAAAACATCCCAACTTCACACAAACACAAAGTGCAGTCAGAGTCAGTACATTATTCATTACTGTGGATGTGATTCATTGTGACATTTTGGTCTCTTTGAGAGCAGCCAACAACAAACTCCTGACATCCAAAGGGCAAAGTGTCTGTTGATCCCTCGGTTTCATCCAGGTGGCATTCTGAACTCCTACTCTCTAGAGCTACAAAACCACTTTAGAAAACATTTCCTTTGATTGTGATATGCTCCTGAAAATAACTTTCAAGTTGTAAGATCATGAAATAAAAACCTAGTTAAAGCAGGACACATTTATTTAACCAAAACATATCATTTGAGATGTCAGCTCATCACTTATCTCTACATCTATGGGTGTGTTTCTTATTTCCCCCATTCCAGTTTTTTCATGTTGTGGTTTGTAATTGATCATATGCATTATTTCCTGTATCGTGTGTCAGCTTGCTTTGTTTTGTTGTATCTCTATGTCTCTACGTACAGGAAACATCTTGCAGTGCAAAACCTGTACAGGTGTTTTTAGATATTTATCTCTGTAATGACGTGGGAATGAAAAGGTAAAATGAAGCTTAAGTCATGCCGTTTTGTTCTCAGCTCAGTGGCTATAAAACAGACAAAACAGGTCTCTCAGATCTTAAGGCACTAAACTTATAAGTATGTGTCCCAACTGCACTTTATTACCACTTCAAACCTCTAGGCCTCAATAACTCCCCTGTTTATTGTTTTTGTCATAGAGTTTATGACTATTATGGTAGTGCTTTATTACCAGATACTTTGTGTTATCTGAAAGGTGTATGTTTTGCTTTGATGGTATGCACTCACTATATGTGTTAGGGCGCCAGGCGATCACCGTCTATCATTTCCTGTTGACGATGTGAAATTACATCTGTTGCAATGTCCTCAAATAGTCACTCTGTCGTTTGTAATGATTAGACTTTTTTTTTTTTTTTGCATGTCGAACTTTAAAGTGTGCAGACTCCATTGTTCTCACACTGACATCCGGAGCATATTTAAGACCTAAATCTGGTGATGGTGCAGATGTGTGCACAAAACCCCCTTGACACGTTCTGCCACAACTGCATCCTCTTTCAAAAACATTTTTTTTTTTTTTTTTTTTTTCAGATCGTGCTTTTCTCTCAACCTTATAATTACTCTGTGTGTGTGTGTGTGTGTGTGTGTGTGTGTGTGTGTGTGTGTGTGTGTGTGTGTGTGTGTGTGTGTGTGTGTGAGAGTCAGTCAGTGTGTGGCTTTGCTCAATTCTGTTTACTTCACTTCACTCAAATGTTTGGCTACAGGAAAATATGATATGAAAGACTCATATAGGGGTTGTTTAACACCTCAGTAATCCCTGTCTAAAATAACATTTTAAATACGATTATAATAAATTAAATTAGTCTCTTTCTGTAGGAATCTTTATTTGCAGTATATACTTTATGTGTATGCGTCTTTGCGATTGTGCAGCACTTATCTATGTGTGTATTAGGCTGCTCAAGAACAGTTGCCTAGGAGACAGCCAGACTCATTTTCACATGTTTGAGCAGAACTATGAGTCATTCTATACAGGCTATCTCTCTCTGTCTCCCTCTTCCTCATTTTTCCTCATTCTGTGGACACTAGATATGGATAATTTAGAAACTCTGCTCAGATTACCATTCTCTATTCCTCATCCTTCACTCCTTTACTGTCAGTACTTGCTCTCTTTTTGCCTTCTGTAATGATGTTAGTGAGTGTGGCGTGTGTTTGTGTGTGTGTGTGTGTGTGTGTGTGTGTGTGTGTGTGTGTGTGTGTGTGTGTGTGTGTGTGTGTGTGTGTGTGTGCGCATTTCGGTTGGGTGCATGGTTGTGGATGGATGAATAGACAGAGAAAGCATTCGAGTGCTGTGTATTCATTTTGTTTGCAGCTCTCAATATGTTCAGACTAAAGGTGTGCCAAAATATTTCATATAAACTAAAACCCTCTTAGAGAATTACATATGTATTCTTTATGATTCTCTTGAATCTGTAGGAAGGGGTTGGTGGGGGTTAATAAATGCTTATGGCACATATTTAAATCTACTATTTAAATGTTTTTACCATGGAGAAAACAAATGGTTATTTAGTTCAGGTTCACTGAATAGAAAAGTTCTGACAAAATACAAATACAGGTGCGATGATCAAAATATCACAACTTTTCAAGCTTCACCTAGAAAAGAGGTCATCAGTAAAATGTGTTGTTTTTGTTCATCACAGCGTCTTGTCCTCAGCCCCTGGTTTGGAGGAAGTCCAGACACTGCTTGGCATCATCGACTCTAATAAGGTTGGTGCCATTTCACAGTTATTGCTATAAGATTCGCCATCAATTAAAGTCATTTGACCGTTTTTGCTCCGCAGCAGTGGTCTTTGTCTTGTGGAGCTCACCTTGAGCACTTGCACTGTGTGTTTCAGATTGTTAATGTGGATTCCAGATTGACAGCCAATGACCTTCTTGATTGTTTCTCACAACAAGACTACAGGTAGGGCACACACGTACATAATAATAATAATGATATATTGTTGCTACAGAGCATACATTTAAATGGTTTCTTCTGTCACTGGTAAATCAGATTTCTTGACTCACATTCGCTACACCTGGAATCTCACTAGTCTTAAATATGACTGGAATTAAGTAGTTTTAACAATCCATGACAAGCCTAGCATGCATTTTATTCACTTTCTGTGGAGGTTAAGCATATTAAAACAAATTAAATAGATCCAGCACTGCTTTTGTTAGACATGCATCCACTGAGTTTGATGTGTGCATCTAGCAACAACTTTTTTTCTGATCAGATATCACAATCAAACACACTCAGGTTCTCTGAATTCTTGCACTCTTTGTTGCAGCATGCCCAGGCAGGTATGTGTGTTTTTCCAGCGTTGTGGCCGTTACTCTATCATAATAGGCCTCCTCATAGATATCCCCAGAAGAACTCTCACAATGGCGGTGGCCATGTCAACGATACCTAACATTTGTGACACTCATTATTAACATACTCCTGATGCTTAATAGATCTTTGTGCTTTTATATTCTACGGTGGGGAAACACCATACTAACCACAGGGCTGGAACATAATCCCACACACATTGTCTTGTAGGGTCAGGGTGTACGAATGGCAGCGAAAGTGGCAGTGTGAACTAAAGATAAATGTTTAGTCACCAGTTGACGTTAATTGAACCTCAGAGATCAAACAGCACATGGACTCCCAAAAACGCTCATAAAGTAAAGGAAGTGTTGACTTACATGCTTAACTAGGATCCCAGCTTAAGAGAGTTATGTGTCATTTCACAAGGTTATTGTCTATGTCATCTATCTATTTTAAACAGCTTATTTTAACCTGTGGCCTATATATAATTATTTTTAAGCTGTAAATTATAAGTATCTTTTAAGAAGAGGGTGGGATTTGTATGCAAAGAGGAGCTGCCTCAAGGACTGCTAAGTAACCTCTAACCTTTCTCTCACCCACTCATGTAACACAAGATTATCCTGCCTGTTTTAAGACTAAATATTAACACGTACAAGTACACAGTTATCCTACTTGGCTGCTTTTTCCTTTGCTTGTCACTAATAATATGATATGATAACATAAACTGTACTCTACCACAAGGAACTTTCATTTTGTGTTGATTCTGGTGGCCTCTAAAGCTGTAGAGTTTCTTTTATTTCATTGATTTCAAGGGGAAACCAACCAAAGAATCACTACATAGAAATAGTCAGTCTCCTCGATGACACCTTATTTGTTTATGTAGGTCATATAGACACATCAGAACTAAATTAAGCCAGTTAAAAACTCCTTGTAGTACGTTTAAACCACGGCTGATCTTTTTCTGAATTGTGCCATGTTTTTTTAAATTTTATTTAAATATTAAAAATAATATAATTGAAATGTTAGTATCAACTAGTTAAACTGGTTCACATTTGTAGTGCTGAAGTGATCAGTGAAGTGATGTCAACTTTTTTGACATTTTATAGAGATAACAAATAAATAATCAAAAAGCAATCAAATCAAAAAATGTATTTATAATAAAAATAATTGTTAGTTGCATCTCTAAATATTTGCTTATAATATATTTTGTGCTACATTTAATTTTAAACCCACATTCCCCCACAAATCTGTAACACAATGGACACATCCAGGGACACATCCAGGGAACCTTCCAGGTCCATCATGATGTGGTTCTGAAGCTAAATTGCTGCTGCATTTATGACTGCAGGTTGAACAGCTGCCATGGAAACGAGCCACAGTTATATGTATTCAACAGATTATTTATTTTCTGGCTATTACCGGTATGTATCCTCTCTTAATGCCCCCGCCTGACTGTCAGGAGCCATTTCTGATGATTTCATAACGTCCTAGAAGATAATGACTTTCACTAATACTATAACTGATTGTATAGCTCTTTCTTTTATAGATCACATGAAATAAATAATTCAGAATTAGTACTGTGGTTGTTATTATATTGACAATGATTATTATATTATCATGGCCAACAAGTTCTATCATCAGATAACTAAAGGAGTTACTTTCTTGCTTGGAATAATGATGTGAAACCATGATGGAACCAAAGCTTTATTTAGTATTAAAGACAACATCTGCTCTGTCACTTCGTGGAAGAGCTTTGCGGGCACTTACCAGTCACGTTACCCCAGCTTTCGTTACAACAGGTCACCACTGAAAGATATAGTTGAGCTGACTGTGTTGTGATTGTAAATATTTTATTTGATACATCCATGTAGCCCTTTACTCAGTGAGTGCATTATCTGTGGTGTTAAATATTTGATTTGTTCTCAGTGCGGTGGTATGATGTCATGGGTTATATAAGGCCTTAGGGAGGCCCTTTCCAGGCGCATGTTCAGTCATCGACAGAGAGCTTTCAGTACAAGTGGGCCTCGACTGGCAGATAAGCTTCCAGAGGCGTTTGTATAACAAACACCTTTTGCCTTTTATAGCAAAAATACTAATAATAAAGTAACCACTATAACATAAACTGAACTGTCGGTCTTTAGATACTTTGTTATTTATATGTCTGTCTGCAGTTTTTAGCTGTTTACTTGCTGTTGCATTTGGAAGAGAGAGCTATAATAAACACATTATAGCTCTCTCTAGGAAGGATATAGTATATGGGGCACTCAGACAGTTTTTGTCTGAAAGACAAGCATTGCACTTGTGTGTTTACATAAGCCCTTTTTCTGAATGCCGCCTCTTTTTTCTGTTTTTTTAAGGAGAGTGGGAGGGAATTGAACCAAACAAAACACAGATTTGTTTTCCTGTTTTCTGTTTCTCAGCTCAGTTTGCATTCTGATACATTACAGTCTAAGAAATGTTTGATTAAATGCAGCCTTACATCTCTTTGTACCTTTTCTGTGCACATGTGGTGCTCCAGTTGTCTGTGATTTTGTGTGTTTGGAAACCAGTGGAGTTATTTGTGTGAGACTGTTGATTTTGCTAACACCTTCTCACTATCACTCACTTGTGGCTGGTTCCTGAGGGTTGATATACGACGTAGCTTAGCCGTTGATTATCACAGCTAAAAGGTGAGAGCAAATGCCTGTATCGTCTCTCTCTTACACTGTGTGTATATGATTTCAAGCTCACGTGTCAACGTCAGTGTTTAACTTGCATTTCACTTATTACATAATTTATTGACTCAGACACACAACCTTAAACACTGGGTCCTTATCCAAAGCGGTCATCCCTTCCAGCATTATCTTATATCATATTTACACATTCATTTTATGTAACTCAACCAAACAGAATGACCTGGGGGAAACACCGTTCTGCTGTTTGATAAAACTAACCAACCAACAAGGAACGTCACATAAATAAATCAAAGAAAGCCTAGAGCCCTAAATTAGTTTATTTTCTGCTATTTTTATACAAAAGCTAAACAGAAGAGGAACTGCTTTGTGTTTGATAAGACAGATCAGACTCACTTTAAATGAAAAATGGATTCTAACTATATTAGAAATAGAAGGATGGACACATATAAGCTTTCCTTTTATCTTCTATTGCATATTATTACTAAAGTAGAACACTTTTACATTATTTACTAATGCTTAAACATTTTATAAGCCTACCCAGTGCCAACTTGTTATCATTAAGTGGCATTCCTTCATAAGCCTTTCTGTTGGTCACACTCTTAAAGTCAGTGTTTTGCTTTCAAATGAACTTCAAATGGAAAAACTGACTTAGCCTTATGTTTTATTTAAACCATACTGTCAGAGTTTGCAGTAAGATTTCAACATAAAAGCCAAGCCAAGCATAATTGGTGTAAAGTGAAAGAAAGAAATCTCAAAACGTGAAAAAAAAAACAATTAATGTTTCCAGAAAGTTTCACCTACTATCATTCCTTATTTTTCTTCTTCTGTTGAACAATAGATGGTGGAGACCAAGGGTTGGTCGCCATGGAGATGATCCATTGGTCCATAGCAGCATTATACAGTAGTTGGGTTTGGAGAGTGGATCTAATTGGAGGCTTTCTGTTAAACAGGACTGGCCTGAGATCAGTTATGTCATCTCAATGTATCATGTGGTTCTATATTCAGTTTAGTGCGAATCGTTACTATCTCCTGGGGATATCCATTAATTACCTGTCAGACACATTCAGGCCGTTATGTAACACACAGAAGAACTAGAGCTCTCCCTCTTTGTGTGTATACATTGTGGATGTGGGTCAGTGACTTTGTGTACCATTCATGTGCGTGACTGCCTTTGATTCTTCATGCAAGAACTTGACATGACCAGTTTGCGACCAGTCCGTCGTTGGACTTCGATGCAAAAAGCCTTTTCACACAGTCCCTCTGTGCACGGATCACGGTGGAATGAAAAACCAGATCATCTGAGGCAGGCCAACCACTAAACCTGGCAAAAGTGAGATTCCCACAGGTTATGAAACCGCACAGCTGCACTATTGAATGAAGAATGGGAAGTGGATGCATGGAGGTAGGGAGAGAACAGGGGCCGTCAACAGCCGGCAAATTCTGCTCTTTCTTTCCTCTTTCTCTCCTCCGGCAGTTACATAACGTTCCAATGGAAACAAAGCAGAGGAGGAAACAAACAGGCAACAAGCTCCCTCAGTGTCTCCGCTGCTTAGCAGCCGTTGCCAAGACTGTAGCAGCCAATTTATGGATGTGTTTGTGCTCACGGTGAAGAGCAGTTGTGTGTATAGGTTGTGCATTTGTAACTGCATGGATTTATCTGGTGTTGTAACCAGAAAAATGTAATTCAACTGGGGAAAAGTGCGCGTAAATAGCGGCCATTGAGACCCAGCGCTTCTGGAAGCCGCTGCGGCAACAGTGGCTCTTTTGTCTGTCGTGGACATTCTGTGCCGAACATAATCAGCACATAGAAAGTTCACTCATCGAGATGTGTGCGCAGTGCTGTCCGGGTTCATCCAGATAGCATGATGTGAATAATGTACAATTCTGCACTGGAGGATTTATTATTTTATCGTTTATGTGAGGTTTAGATTCATAACATTTTTTGGCTGCTTATTTAAATTGATTCCTTGGGTATAAAAAACACTACGACACTCAAGTAAAATCAGGGTGTATTCTTATTACGCATATTCATGACATAATCATAGACTATTTGATTTTAAAAACTAAATAAAAACCAAATGTTTTGGGGGAAAAGTCTAAGTTTTTATGTATTAATGTCCCCAGATTTAGATTCAAAGCCCCATCCATTTATAATCTATACAAAGAACACACAACGAAAGACACAAATACAGAAACTGGTCCAACCTTTGCAGAAATCTTTGTGTCTTTGTATCTGATCTGTCTCTTTACTTGTGTTCCAGGGAGAAGCTGAGAGTTGGAGGGAACCAGTTAATGGATCTAAAAGGGGCCCTGGATCGTTGTGTTGGGAGCGTTGGTCAACATATCACCTTTACCACGTAGTCCTGATTGGACTCAGCCGAGCAGAACCCCCCCGAATAATCTGATTACTTGAAGAAAAAACTGTAAGTTAAAGGGATATCTGCCCGCACCGTGTCCCTGGTGACTGAAGCTGTTTACCTTTTTTGTTTTTTCTGACACGTTGTCGTGTCCCTGAAGGAATGGATGTCTGTGTATGTTCTCCATCATTCTTATACTTCATACAGCATCTGGCTGATTATTAGTCTGTTTAATTCAACTGCATCAAGTACTGTTTTCAACGTTCTCCAATATTCCTTACTCTATTTTACACAAGGTTGTCATCTTTCCCCTTTCACAGGGCTTTTTATGTCTCAGTTCACTGGGTCTATAAACATTTCTGCACATAAAATATTGCATTATTTTGTTGAAAGGGATCTAATCACAGCACTGGTTTTCATTATTATTATTTATAATTTTATATTTGCTTTTAAAACAGTTTGTAACATGGTGTACAAACACATACGTTTTTATGGTTATTTAGTAATAGCAACAATGTTTGAAGGTACCCAACCAGCCAACAATGGCAGACAGCCTTTTTTTAATGACTATAAATAACTATATTTTAATGTCTGTTCATTATATTTTAACCCAGACCCTGTTAAAGTGTTGTTTCCCATTATTTATGATACATGTTCAACTTCACAGAGCGTTTCAGTTTAAAACACTACACCTTCTCAGTGGTCTTAAAGGAATAGTACGACATTTTAGTAAACACACCTTTTCACTTTCTTGCTGAGAGTTTGATGAGAAGAACGATACAACTCTCATATCAGTCCATTAAATATGAAGCTAGAGCTAGGAGACAATTAGCTTAGCTTAGCATAAAGACTGGCAGCAGGGGGAAACAGCTAGCCTGGCTCCGTCCAAATCCACCTACTAGTTTACGAATTAACACAAACCAAGTGTAAAAATGACAGAGCTTTGGTTTTTATGTGCTGCTTATTTCTTGGCCAGGAAGAGTAACTTCCTTGAGTCTTGTTGTCACCGTGAGGTTGCCAGGAAACCACTAGAAACTCCAGCAAGTCACCACAGCCCTCTTAACTTTACTCTGTTACAACCCGTTCACTTTGCAAACCTTAAGCGAATATAATATATTTATCCAGCCACAGGCTGTATCTTTAAAGGCACTTTATCTCCCCACAGGCGTCCTCTGTTTGCCTGGAAAGATTAAAACGTCTACCCAGGACGAAACCAACATTTAGATGGAGATGCACAGTCTTAAGTGTATGATTTAAACAATCATTTTAGGTTGACCATAGATATCAGTGAGATCATGAAAATATGAAGATGCAGCTTGCTTTTGCCTGCTGGATAACAGGTGAAAAGACAATGTGTTTTGGTTTTTCACCTAAGCTAAAGCTATGTGACCAAATTACAACAGTAATGTACATCACACACACACACACAACTCCCATGAAGCCAACTCTTCTTACTCTTGGATTTTGTGCAGATTAAATAAACAAGATGTAACACGTTGAGCTTTAGAGTTGCTGGCAGGCAGATTTTGTTATCATTGGAAAAAGCCAGTCTGACTGTTTCTCCAGTCTTTGTGCTAAGCTAAGGTAACTGTCATCACATTTAGCTTACGGATGTGAAAGAGTTATCGATCCTTGCGTCTAACCTTTGGCAAGAAAGCGAATCATCTTTTAAAAAGTGCCGAACTATTCCTTTAAAGTGAGTCCAATGAGACTGACTGCCCTCTGAGCTTCTTGTTTACAAAATCATGATGTTTGAAAGCCAACTGCTGCACTGTTAAAGTGTCCCAGTGAGAAGCTGAAACTGAATGGCTATTTCTTTGAAAACCGAAGCAATTGGTGAGTTTGTGTCATGCACAATCAACAAATAACATTTCAGTAATCTTGTTTGAAAACCAGTGAACCTACATTTTCAGCTTTTTGCTAGTTTTAGTTGATTTTTAAGTAAAAATGTAAATAATTTGAGAACAAAATATATTTTATGTGAAAGAGTTAAATATTTGCAACAAATTAAATGATTTGAAGTCATTGTCTTGTTTGAGGACTTATTTTTCTCATCTGCATCATTTGCTTCCACTGATCTGATCTGAAGTGTTTTCCAAAGTAATTTAGCCTCAGTAATCCAGTATAATTCCCTTCTAGTGGCATTTCCTGTCAGTTTAAGTAGTAGTATGTGTAGTTCAGTGTGTGTGCTGTGACTGATATTCTGTGTGTGTGTGGTGACTAAGGGGATTAGAGCACAGGTGACGCCGGCAGACAGGCCAAGATTACACCTGCTGCTGCTGTGACACGAGGCTAAAGCATCAGACGTCACGCAGGAGCGGGGGGGGACAGATAATGAGGGAACTTCCTGTCTCATTACATCACAGCTGTTACTGAACATTTATTCAAAAGTTGTAGTGTTGGACTTTTTGTTCCAGAGCTCTTGCGTCATTGGTGAACTTTCATGGAAAAACCCACCTAATCATTTATAAAAGTGCGCATTTAAAAAGCTCACCTTGACTCAAAGGACCCTTGACCCTTTCTCTTTTCAAATACTGTACGAACATGTGCCTGGATACCGTGAAACAGCTTTTAGACCATTTTGTTGATGTGATGGAAATGTCCCTCAATATCCAGAGGAACCACCAGGTTTATCTCTTTCAGAATCCTTTTGTCTGAATTTCCAGTGCTGTTATGTGTGTGTGTGTGTGTGTGTGTTAAGTGAAATATGTACACAAGATCCAAAAATGACTAAATAGATATTTTTAATACTATATTTGCATTTACATTTTTACAATACATTATGCCTTATGCTTTTGTTAGTCTCTCTCCTTCGAGAGTTGTATAAAGCCAAAGTAAAAAGAGGAAGCCAGCAAAAATTATTCCCAACTAACTGTGTAAGGGAGAAGCGTGACGGGACAATAGCACACATAGCTGTGGTAAGGCAAAATACAGACTCAGTGACCAAGCATTTAGCCCCTGCTTCCGGCAGCAGCACTTGGCCCATATGCAGCTTTTTCCTACTGTGACTGTCAGGTGCGTCAGCAGAGATTATAGGAAGCGGACTTGTGAATGATTGCAGGGCAGGGATTTAATAAACTCTGAATGGCAGTCAGAGATGTCTGAGGTCATGCAGATGCAGTCAGCTCAGCTGGTCCTCTTTCAACACTCCCACCAGAGTGACTGTCGTCGTCGCTTCCTGCTGAGGTCTGTTAGACAGCTTAGTATAATCTCCCCTAAAAGACACTTAGAGGAACAGAAAAAAACCTGGCTTAGTGTGGTAGTCCCTGAGGAAATGGGTGGCAATGAAAGCTTAGACAGCAGTGGCCAGGACAGTAATTACTCAGCGGGAGGAGCAGGACGAGGGGGAGATGGCAGTAAAGTCTAATTTAGGGTCAGCAAATCAGCTGTTGGGAATTATATTTGGGGCTTCCAGCACCTGGTTCAGCTGCTGATCTTTGACTTTAACAGGCTGAGGCTTATAAAACAATCATAAGCAGACATCTCATCAATACTTAAACAGTGTAAAGCGTTACTGCCCAACTTCAGTGACACACATTGAGAAAGTAGGCTGAAGACAAAAATCCGATTTAAATGATTTATTAATTAAGAAATGTTACAAATGTGATAATTTTCTCGCTCTAACATTCCTTCCAGAAGAATCTGCCAATGCCTGACACTTTAAAACACACAAGAAAAAAAAAAGAAAAAAAAGGATCTTCAGTAAACTGCATCTCTACATACATCAATTAGTTAAATCACGATAACAAAAGTTTGGTTAGCAGAAGCATGGTTGTGCGTGTGTGGTGTGCACAAAAAGATTAACTAAAACTGGCACTGGTTAGATTCATTGACTTAAGCTGTCTGCTACTACTTTTATTTTATCGGTAAATCAGCAGTGTATAAAAAATATAAAAAAGGCCATCATTTAAGATTCAAAAAGCAATCCAGCTTGTTTAAAATGACACAAAAAGCCATGACAGGTGTTTATTAACTCGCACTCTGAGTAAGGCTTCAAACCGCTGACCTTTAAATATGTGAGCAAAATTACATTTCCACAACAGAAATATTCTTAAATAAATTTGAACTTTCAAGTCAATTGTCACCACTCTATACTGCCACCTTCCAAGTGACAAATAATTGCGAGCCCATCTGAAAACCCTCAATGAAAGTGACAAACTTCTCAACTCTAAGAGAAAAAGAAAAGCACTAAGTGTATTAGATGTTGGCATATGACAAAAATTGAGGAAGAAATAAAATATATACAGCACGAAAAACATTGTATGCAATATGCAAAGGCGTCATGTTGCTTTGGGCAACAACCCTTCCACCCCCATCCCAACCGCGCCACATATAAGCCAGTCTTCACTGAAGACCCCTCATCCCGACGACCCCCACCCCCCACCCACACATATCCGCTCATACACGCGCACACACACATACACACACACATACACACATGCATACATACATACACACAACGTCACGAAACACGATTACGTCACTAAGCCTGTTAGTTTGGAAAAAGGTGAAGCACTGTGAAACTCCCCCAACCCCTTCCCTCTCTCTCTCTCTCTCCCCCCTCCCTCCCTTCACACCTCCCCGGCTTCCCCCTCTTCAGTCGGAGAGGGGAGTCAGGGCCTTGGTGCAGTCGTTCCACTCGTCCGTCTCAGGGTTGTACACCTCCATCGTGTTGAGGAACTCGTTGCCATCGAAGCCGCCCACAGCGTAGATGGTTTCGCCCAGCATGGCCACGCCCGCATTGCTGCGGGAAGATGTCATGCTACCCAGCATCCTCCACTCATTGCGGGCGGGGTCGTACACCTCCACACAGCGGAGCGCATGGGAGCCGTCGAAACCGCCAACGACAAACAGTTTGCCTGGACGGAGTGAGAGACATTAATATCGACGTAATGTCACAAAAACGTAATCATCCAAATTTGAACAGCTTGACAAACAGTCTCTGGTTCTACCATTCTCAACCATTTATGGTCATGGGCTCACCTGCATGGACAGCAACGCCGGCCCCCCTGCGAGCCACATTCATGGGGGCTATCAAGGTCCAGGTGTTGTTCTCAGGGTTGTAGCGTTCCACAGTGTTCAGGCAGTTCCAGGACTCCGCCCCTCCAATCACGTACATGAAGCCATCCAACTCACACACTGCTGCCTGGTGCCTCCCTGAAAACAAATTTGCTTAATGAATACGACTTTCTAATTTCCCCCCACAGTCGTTATCCTACGTTTGGTCTCATTCTTTAACATAATGTATTCTCTGCTCCAACTCCAAATTTCCCCAGAGGGAATAATTAAAACGTCACACTAAAGACAGACATTTGTTATCCCTCTGAGAAAGATTATCCAGCTTAATGCTTGAGGTTAGAATCAGTTTCATCAGAAGTTAAAGATAATATATCCTTGAGGTTAGATCATGTTGTATGTTTTTATCAAGGTAAATCAAATAATCTGGGTGTATATGGGACTGTGTGGGCACGTACTGATGTTGAGGTTGGCACAGTTAGACCAGGTTTTTGTCACAGGGTCAAAAGCATCACAGTTCTTAAGGCCCTTCTGCCCGCAGGGGTCGGATCCTCCCACAACGTAGAGTTTGTTGTTCAGTGAGCAGACACCTTCAAACAGAAAGGACAGGAATCAACTACATAAGCAAACTAGTCTGACGTCACTTTATGGAAGCGTTTCCTGGACAGAAATCATTCAGTTCAACCATCTGTTAATAAATCCTTGCGGGAGAGACCAACCTGCATTGCAGCGGTTTGTCCTCAGTTCTGGCACTTGAGCCCATTCATCAGCTTGTGGATCGTACCTCTCCCCGCAGCTCAGCTCATCAGAATGTCCATTTGAACCTCCAATCACATACAGCTGACCCTGTGAGGTGTAAATGGACAAGTCATGAGATTTGCATAAAACAACTGAAACGTGTTTAAGCACTAGATAGGTGCACTGATAGGCCAATATTTAAAATGTCCCTTTATTCTAGAGTCAATAGATCGGGGATAAAGATGAATAGTAATCTGTACCATGAGCACAGCCATCTGGAATCGAGCCCTTGGAGTCCGCATGGGAGCGATGAAGGTCCAGCGGTCCTCTTTGGGGTCGTAACACTCCACAGTCCTCAGACACTCCTCTCTGTTGTAGCCTCCTGCAGGAACATGAAGATTTATCAAGCTTACTGTGGCCCCACCAAGTTTGGTGTAGGCATTAAAGCAACTTTGCCTACACTAAGAAACTGAGCTCCTCAAGCTCTGTCTGTCTCTGAAAATTAAGCCAGTAGCATGGAGCTTCCCATGTATCCCACCTCCTTGTAGCTCCAATTATATACACCTTACACATTATTTTTATTTTCTACCCCTGCGTAGTGCTTACCTGCTGCGATGAGTCTCCCACTCAGGCCTGCGGTGCCCAGGCCAGAGCGAGCATAATGCATGGGTGAGAGCGGTTGCTCTTCCAGTTCCTCGGGCTGGGCCTCGAAGCTGAGGCTTTTCATCAGGCAGGGGGTGGCAGAGGGGGAGGTCTGAGGGCTGCTGCGACCGTGCAAGAAGATCACACACAACACACTGTCCAGCACAGCCAGACACAGGTAGGTGTTGTCTAGGGGTAAGATCGGAGATTGTTAGAGCCACTTGTGGGAAAAACATTTTGAGATTAAGCTCAGAGTTTTAAATCTGAATTTAGATGCTATGTCCTTCTAAGTTGTTTATCTTTGAAGTCAGCATCTATTAGACTTGTGCTCAAAATATATTTTAAAGATATTTCAGATTGTCCTGTAACAAATCACATGTAATTCATAGACACTTACTTGTGGTCTTCTCAGAGGCGATGTACTTCCACTCTCTCCTGGCGGTCTGTTTGGGGGCATTTGCTGCTTGGTTGGAGGGCGACAGGCTTCCTGAGGAGCTGCAGCTCATCTGTCTCTGGGTGCTCTCCCGTACGGGTTTCTTCTGCAAGAGCACAGTGCAGCTACAGAAGCCAAGCTTGCACCACAGGCCCACCAGTGGCCACCACCAACTAAATCATACCCCAAACTAGTCATCCAGCTGGTCTAATGTAGACATACATAATGAACCTGCATTAATCTTGTCCAAATATGTATTGTAATCTCACGCCATCTGAAGCCAACAACACACCACTGCAAACTACAGTCTCAGACCACACTAAAATCAGGTCTAACAGCACACAGTTCAGTCACAACTCAAAAAGAGGGTAAAAGCTGAGACAGCCATCACTGCATGTGCTCCACTGGTTAAGTTAGCTTAAAAATCTAAATATGGTTTTAATATATACTCAACAGCATAGCCAGGAAGGCATCATAGCTCATTTATGGCTAATCTACTGTCATTAGTCTGTATATTGCGGCTAAATTGTGGTATTAAATGAGCCATATCTACTTCTAGCCAGGCACAGGCTGTGTAGTATTTTTATGCATGGCCAGGCACAAGCTGTAAAATAAAGCTACACACTGCCAAGCAAAATGTGGTAGAGACTTCATTACAGTGAAGCCAGGCACAAGCTGTTGAGTACCTGCACAAACTGAAGGTGGTCCTCCTCGCCACCAAACACCTCACTGTGCCCCTCAATCACCAGCCCTCCATCCACCAGCTTATGGTCAGGTGAGTAGTACAGCGTTTGCACCTGAAAGACAAACAGGAACAACACACCCATGTGGCTGTCTCCATGGCAACACACTGAGAACCCCAGCAAAAGGGGGAGAGGAGGGAGGGAGGAGGAGGAGGAAGAAGGGGCAGTGCTGTGAAGAGGAAGAGGGGGAAGGGATAAAGGCCTGGATCTTCAGTCGCTTGGATGGAAAGCTTCCTTTAAAAAGACACACACGCTGCTGTGCCACTGCATAGAGTGGGTTAAGTGCTTGAGCTCAAGAAGGTATCGACAGTAGCTCTCCTTAATTTGCATCTAAAGAAAGAGGGAGCTGGTGAAGAATGAGAGGCTACATCTGGAAAGATCTTCTGTGAAGAATGAAGAGGAGGAGAAGGAGGAGGGGCTGCATGTGGCGCTCTTTCCACCTCTGCTGCTTGGAAACCGGTCCTCTAGATGAAGGAGTTGGTCATTGTGATGGCAGCCACAATAGGCAGTCAAATCCAGATGACTACAGGCAAGTAGTTTTAAGAACTATTAAGCTAATCTTTACCCAATGATAGGTTAAATTAAAGAAAAAAGAAAAGAAAAATGAAATGTTCTGTGGGTAATGAATATGTGTTGAAGTCACTTAGTTGCCCATTCGAAGGACATATTTTAGAAAGACTAATTTTATTAAAAATGTGAGAAGTTTAGTTAATGAAAATCAATATTTGTGCTGAGCCAATCACTATGCTTATGTGCAAAGCGGTTTTCTGTCCAATGCCTAATTTGAGTGGTTCTTGAATGTGCCAGTGGCTTGTTTGTATGGGCATATATTGTTATGTGCTGTAAAGGGGCATTCAATTAAATGTATTTATTGCAAAAGGTTTGCAATGTGTTCTGGTAAATGCATCTGTATATGTGGCATGGACAGATGGGAGCACAGTGTTGCTTGGCTGCAAAGAGAGGCTGCTGAGAGGCAGTAGTGCTCCTCTCCTCCCTCTCTTTTCTCTGACTCATTACCCTGGTGGCTCAGTCCTGGCTCCTCAGTCTGGTCTCCTGCTGCTGCTAATAAACCTACGGGAGAGATAAATCAACGGGGAGGAGTGCCTGTTAGTGCTGGAGCAACAAACGCGCACCTGTTCAGATAGTAAAGTGGCAGTGAGACAGTAGAATCAAGGGTCAAACCTGTGAGAACCTGTGTTTCTGTGTTTCAGAGGAGAAGAGCACTGTAATACTCAGATGGGGTTGTATGTAAAACCAACCACATACCCAAAAGTGAACAGTAGAAACAAAAAACAAGAGCAAACAGCAGCTCTTTTCGGCTCACCTCTAATTTGTAGTTTGGTTCAGGGGTACAGAGTTTCTTACTGCAAAAACCTCAACAAACCAGAGGGGAAAAAAAACAACAATCCTGACATAGCAGCATGACAGTGGCATGCCATTTCTATTTCAGCCCCCTTAATGACTTCTTAACGTCAAAAACAGGAGGAGTCAGAGGGAGGGGAAGGGGCAGGGTAAGAATTGAAGATCAGCCTGAGAGTTGGGACTGCACACCCCGGTACTGACCTCCTCCATAAGTCGTTCCAGTTGGTCTCCATTCTCCCAAAGGCTACGCTGCACCCAGTTGAGCACTTTCGAGTAGAGCTTGCCATTGCTGGGCAGGGTCAGGTTGTCTTCTAGCATTACTTCTAACTGTAAACACACAATGAAATAAAATAGTAAGAATAAAGTGACTTCTTAACTGAAGAAATTAATACCACATCCTTCACTGGAAAAATTTATTTTACTGGCTGATTATTAATTTACCTGAGAATCAGGTGATTCATTACTTGTATAACTGCTTTATTTTGCCATAGTGACGAGAGGATAGTATCATATTAAGTTACTTGGGAGCCTCTCACACCACTGATTAAATTAGTAAGCCTCTGGTGCAACATTTAAAACTTTTGGATTAATTACTGGGTGAAAAGTATTTTAAGTGTTCCAACTAAATATTTTATAGGTTCGTGTTGGTTTTCTGAAGTCATGTCTGGTCTTTAAGCAAATTCTTAAAAAACCTTTGTTGACTCAAACAGGCCAGCAGCAATTAGCTAATGGAGCAAACAGCTGCCAGTCATCAATATTTTGGATAATGATCAATATGGGTCAGGTTTGTGGTTCGCTTCAGGAAAATATTACAACTGGGGCTGCAACAAACCCAAGGATTTACCAACAGATCATTTTTAATTACACGTTTTCATTTAACATCTAAATTGATAACAAGCTCCTGAATCCAAAACTGTTTGTCTAGCAGTAAAAAACAAAACTCAATATATCAAATTTACATGACACGGAACTGGGAAAAATAGCAAATCCTCACATTTGAGATTACAAATTTTGTATTTAATACTTAAAGTATTTAATTGTCAAATAAATAGTTACTTGTTCATTTTCCGACCAATCAACTAATCATTTCAGCAGTACTCCCAGCTAATGTACCATCCTAAATCGGTGTAAACCATAATGCAAGCTAAACAGTATGCATGATTATATTATTTCAACCCAACAACTTCATTTAATTTATCTGATCTGCACAACTTACCCCTTAAAGTACCTAGTGCAGTCCTCATATTGAACAAAGACCTACACACTGTAACCCACCTACGCTAGGCTTTACTATTGCATATGTTGTAAGTCCCTTGCCCTAAATACACACTCAGCAGGATTTAACAGTAGGGAAATCTATAAAGGAGGCACACCTTCATACTGTAAGCATTGTTAATCTCATGTCAAAGTCAGACGAGTAAAAATACAAAGCTATATATATATATATATATATATATATATATATATATATATATATATATATATTTATTTTTTATTTTATTTTTTTTTTTTTTGTGTGTAGTTCTGGCATGTTCCTACAATTTAGCATGGGTCCAAAAACATCTAACTTGGGTTTTCTTGTGATTTCATGATAATTATGATCAGACAATACTTGTACAGAACTCTTATGGCATATGTGCAAATTTAAGCTAGTACCTTGAGACGGGGAAGTTTGAGGAAGTCCTCTTGTTCAGACACTTCCAGTAGATGGTCCTGGATAAAGGCGTCCACCTTGGCCAAAACTCTGGCATCTCCCATAGAGCTGGCAAAGTTACGAAAAGAGATGGCGTTCTGGGAATCCATTTTAGACAGCAGGTAGTCGCCACAAATCTGAGAAGTAAGTGTGATATGTTAAAATCAAGTTATTTGTAACAATAATCATGTGTGACCAAAATTGCGGCATTAGAGGCAAGTGTGATTAAAACGCAGATGAATAAAAACATACCTGTTTAACTCGTTCCATCTTGAATCTTTTGGCTGCAGAGTAAACTTCCTTGACCAGTTCCTTGTCTGCCTTTAGCCTGTGTTACACACAAGACAAAAAAAAAAAGAGGTTATCAATCATTTCCAAAAGGTGTGAGTTTTGCTGTAATATGATCAGAGGCAAAAAGATCAAAAGGTGCTACTAACTGGGCAGTATAGGCGTAGTTGAGCAAGATCTCTACAGCCTCTGGGTCCAAGTCCTCAAAAGTGACATGTGAGACACCATGAGGCTCATTGTCACTATTAAAGATCTCAAACAAGTAGGGACTGCAGCAAGCCAGAACAGCACGGTGAGCCATTAGCTCATGACCACACACCTGGAGAAATGAGAGAAGGAGAAAGAAGACAAACAATGAGGATGTGTAGCAGTTTGTTTAAAGGAAACCTAATTTAAAATATTTTTGACTTGACTGAACATTTGAATGGTTTAAAAGGAACACGATCAATAGTTAAACATCACAGGCATTAGATTCCCTTGTGCCTCAATGGTAATGTGTAAATCTCAGTTCCTAAATGGTGGGAACCGGTTTTCTAACTTGAAATATGAGCGCAACGGAAACGTAACAGGAAATATTAAAGTAAATACTCAAATCTTTTTCTAGTTTCCATGTTTGGAATGACTCACAAGTTGAACAAAATAGATATCATCCATCACTCAGACCCAGTGAACTATGTCCACCTCAAACTGTATTGTATTCTCAACAAACATGTTATGTCATTTCATCCCCTATGGTACACCTCTTAGGTTTCACAGAATGACTCAGTTGCTTCTCTGAAAGAAAGCAATGACCCACGTGTGAGAGTGTTGTGTGTTTGCATTAAGCGTACCTGCAGTCTGACATCGCAGAACTGACCACTCTTTCTCAGAGCGTTCATTTTGGCCACGGTGGAATCCAGGAAACTTTCATCCTCAAAGATCAAATAACCGTTTGGAATCATCTTGGTAAATTTTGATGGTATGCCTGCAAAGGAAAGGCACAAAAGAAATACATTTTGGTCCAGTAAAAACAATATTACCCAGCATGCTTGTTTTCTGCACCCTGTCCAACATACCTTCACCTGTGCAACATTATAATAGATGGCTTTATTAATTGATGACCAGAGAGAGGATTAGATGCCTGTAATGTTAATTGTGCATTAGAATCTGGTCTATGCATTAGTTATGGCCTTACCTAATAGAGAATAATGCAAATCCAGGGAAGCACTACTGCTGAGAGTAGAACAGGAACCGAAGATAGGCAATAGGCAAAGCAGACTGAGATCACAGTGGAACCCAAGTCTTCTTCACCCGAGGAGAGGGATGGGAAGATGTTAGAAGAAATGCCAGTTGACTAAACGGGCGTGAGCAGAAGGGAGAGGGGGAGCAGCCGCACGGACAAACTATCAGGCTTGAAGCGACTGTAATCAAGTCCTCGGGATCCCGTTGGCTATAGAGTTGTACGTATTCTGTGTTGGTCATACATTATAACCTAGAAGAAAAGGAGAAAAGGGGAAAAAAAGTGACATGAGTTTTTGGTTTTTTTTTTTAAGGAAAGAAAGGTCATTTTCAAATTGAAGTGCCTGTTCTTGGCACCCATGCAATGCTAGGCACGAGTCAGTACCACGTGGTAAATCAAGGCAGACAGGATAGCAATTGAGAACACTGCCCTCCCTCTTCCATTCTTTCAGTGTCCTTTTCACCAGCCATTTTCCAAACATGCAGCAGAGCAGCGTTTCCCTATTCACCACAAGCATACAGTAATCGAGAATAAAAATTCAGAATACATTGGTCACTCCATCCTCATTGAATTCAGGTAGAAAACTGGAATTCAGCATTTTATCCCAATATTTTGTAAACCAAAAAAGGCGTTCAAGGTTAGTAGCTAAGCCCATGCCGTTGACCCTCCTCCCTTACAACACCCTCCATTTAGAGCTTTAAATATCCACACCTGCTGCCATGTTCCAGATCAAGCAAGACCGTTTAATCCATCTATTGCCTTGAGCTCCGTCTCCACTCTCTCTGAAGCATGGCCACTCCAACTCTATCTTATGTGACAGGCCCCTCTGGTTGGCTCCTCCCTATAGGAACCCTTTCATTCAAGCACTGACCTATAAGGTAAGGGCAGGAGGGAACAGCTTGTGACAGCGTTTCCACAGCCAGTCACTTGGTGAGATTCAGTGATGGTCTGTTTTTTACGCAACTACATGGCTGCACTATGAATCCTGGTTGGCCATCATGGGTACTCCATATGGCAGATAACCCTGGCCCACAAGACCCACCCACCCACCCACCCACACTGGCATGTCATATCCAATAGAGATCATCCCATTTCTCTCCATTTCAAGATATTTTTATGCCGTTATTAAAGAGTTTTGAATAATCAAGCAGTCCAAACTGAGCCAAAACAAAAACGCACCGATCTCAAATGAACCAATAAGATTTCACAACAAAAAAAATAACACAACTGACGCATTTCTATGTCGAACCACCTCACCACTATGCCATCTGCAGTCTGGAGCTCAGTAAAATAAATTACACCGCAATTCCAACAGTTTTATCACCATCCCATATGGGGAGAGAGGACAAGACAGACCACAGCAGCTGCCCCATAGTCTGAAATTGTATCCACCCTCCATGTGACAAGGCTTTCCTGGGTAGTCTCTGAGTGTTCTGTTTCCAACTCACATGCGATTCTAGCTCATTAAAAAAAAAGCTGTGATTTACTCAATTGCCACGCCATAATGTGCTTGTGACTCCAGCTGCTGTCAGTGGCACATTTTCCCGTCGCAAAATGTGAATAATAATTTGTTAGTAAAATCCTCTAGTTTGTGTACAGAATTTGCAAAACGAGTACCAATCAACGATGAAGCCTAAAAGCCCTGTAACAGATAAAAGCAGGCTTCTGCTCCTCAAACATGTGACTCTAGGAGGCATCTGACCTCCTCGTCAGGCACACAGCAAAAACACAAAGACTTAATATTAAAATTAGCCTTGCAGGAGGTTTATCTAGAACAATTTTAGGTCTGGTTACACTGGGCACAATGCACAGGTAGACTTCAGGTTACAGACAATGTAAAACAGAGCAAACAGACAAAAAGTATGCCCTTTGTATGCTGCTGAAATAATAACAGTCTCCTCAAGTCAGATGTGGAGAGAGGTATATAAGGAAATTCTTGCAAACCCAAGGTCTTGTGTAAGAGGCAGTGGAATAATATTCTTGTCAGTGCACTTTGAATTCAGCAAGCTATTTAAATAAAACTGCCCTTAGCTATGCTAAATAAAAGCAACATATGTATAAAAAGGTGCCAAACAGCCGGTTGAACAAGTACGCTAAATAAAAATGTAGGTGCCAAAAGCTAAACTTACATGTTACACTTCCTGATTAAAGAAACTATGCAACGTTCTGACTTACACCAGTCATCTATCCAATATTTAAAACCCCCAACAAAGCACAAAAACATGAGTGTACTTAGCCAGATCAACAACAAAATACTCAAATCCAGTGACCTACTAAACTCAAAAGCACACTGCGCAGTGTGAATTCAATGATCATCTGTATCAGAAGGGGAAAAAGCGGGAATTATATTGATATCGGATTACTGAGCCTCTCATTTAACCATTTTTTCTTTGACCCTTTTGACAACAGTACAGTACAATGCAAAGAGAAAATAAAAGGACAGAACGCACAAGGAGAAGATGATAGCTAAGTCAATCTGAAGCGGGAGAAGGAATAAAAGGCACTATGAAAAATTAATTGCTTTCCAAGTACCATTTGACAGCAGTCACCGTTGGCTCAGTGTTGTTCGAGAGTGCTCTAACTAGAAAGATGCTAATCGTGTTCGGTTTGAAAGTTAAACAATAACACACTCTGAACACTATGACAGGCCGTGCTACCCTTCTGTTATGGGTTTGGGAAAGATGTGTGAAAGGCGGATGTGTAAAACTATCCTGCCATGACTACTGGGAAGTGTGCCAGAGATATTTTATGGGTAAACACACATCAAGCATGATGGCACATGCAAGAATATAGCCTCTCTGTATTACACCGAGCAGCATTTATAGCGAGGCTGGCATAGAAAGCTATAATTTACCCCGTCTGTGTGTGGATGGAGAAAACACTGACCCAGTTTTGAGCCGTTACACAACATCTGGCAGAAGACTCCTTGTGAAGGCTCAAAAGCTCAACTCCTCCACATGGTTTGGTCCACCATACTCGCCTGTTGCCTGCCTTGTTCCCTTCTCATTTTTCTCACTTAATCCAACAGTCAACCACGGACCACACCCTCAGCTTTCTAGATAATCATTTAGTACAGAATTGCCATCTTAATCACAGCAGTAATTAAATAAAAATCTTCTGTACACTGATAAGACAATCTTACCCCATTACCAGTGTTACTCTGGGACCCAGCAAATGCCAATTCAGGAATGATGTCTGGCTACATGAAAACTGCTGTGTTACGCTATGCATTCAATTGTTGTCTTCTAGGGAAGATTCATGTCCAAAAAACTAGAGTGAGCATGGGGAAATAACAGCGTCGACGAGATAAGGTCAGTGACCACGCAAACAGGAATTTATGTACAGACAAAAAAATGCCAGGCAGACTTGGTGAGCTGTAAATGTGGATATATGGGCAAACGCTTGAACAACAGGGGTACAAAGGAATGAGAACAAAGACACAAAAGAGAAAGAGTGAGATTGTTCACAACTTTGTCACAGAGGGGTAGCTCTGAATGCTTTTCCTTTCTCCATTTTTCCATCTGATTAGTCAGGCGCAAGAGTGCAGGTCTGACACTGAACAATCAATGCTTGTTAGACAGCCATCCAGTGGTGAAGAGAGGTACTGCTGGATATTTCACCAACTTTTACTGGGTGGAAATTTACCACTTCTATTTAACACATCATGAACAAGGGAATCTTAAAAAGGGTGTGAAAATATAAAATGAAGGAGGCAATAAACATTGTATTGGTTGTGCATCAATAAATATTTTTTAAAAAAAAGGTCACACATTTGATCAAAGCAGTATCCAAATTGAGATACTATAATACCTCAAATGCCAGCACAGACTCTACATAGCAATGACAAGGAGAGAAAATGTCAAATGTGTTGTGAGAAATTCCCAAACTAAAGGCAACTCATTTCGATACCTCTCAAGGAAGCGAGAATATGTCTGAGCATGGCCAGTCAGACAGTAAGGATGTCTCATGAATCATCTATTGAACAGATGATGCTCTTAAAAACACACTGCTAAATATTTGTTTCCCCTTTTTCATAAAACCATTCATCTACAGTATGCAATTTCGTTATTTGCCACGTGGTTACCGGATTAAAAGCACAGTAGGTCACATACTACCAAAGGAATAAGGCAACCTGCCGCCGGGAGACTCTACATACTATAAAGCCCTTTAGGAAATCCGACACGTTAAGAATCGGCCTGGCAATTAGCTTTTACCAGAAAATCGATACAGTAAAAACCAATAACGTCGACAGCAACAGTGACGCGTGAAGAGTATGTCGAGGCTGATCACAGTCTGACACAATATGGCACAATATGGAGGGCGAGTAAAGGACAGGATGTACCCATGCTACGATACCCACCCTGCCATCCCCCACTGGGCAAGCCTCACAGTTGCCCACCCTGTATCTCATGTTGGTCTATTCCCTGCACAGCAATGCCTCCTCCTCCTCCTCCTCCTCTTCCTCTATTGTAGTGTATGTACCAAGGCCATGATGTCTGGCGATGTGCCTGAAGTCATACAGCTAAATCTGAACATGCATGCCGCCACCAGAAACTGGGTCAGGAACGAGAGCCCCCCCCCCACAACCCACCCCCAAGAATCTGATTAACTCGTCTTTTATTTAAAATATATATAATATATATATATATATATATATATATATATATCGGATTACAAAAAGCAGACAATGCATATAATATATCTGAAAAAGAGAGACCACCACCCAGCTGTAGCCGAGCAGCTCGCAACCTGAACAGAGATGAGAGAGAGAGGAAGCTCAGTGCATGGTTAGCTGCTGTCTCCTAACCAGACAACCTGCTGCTCAGCGAGGATGGGGCGCCATGAGACCACCACCACCACCGGGGCTTAACACAGGTCGTCGTTTCGGTCCCGTGTTCAACGCGAGAACTTCAGCTTCACACATTTTGCGCTCGCTGGCACTGTGAGCTAAAAAAATAAAAAAATAAAAAATGCCCGCGTCATTAGTCAACGATAACGCTTAGCTGTGCGCGGACGGAGGTAATCCACCGAGTCCCCCAGCAAACACTTCCCCCCCCACACACACACACACACACACACACACACACACACACACACACAGTTCACCCTCAGCGGAAGGTAGCCGACATTTTAACAGCTAAGCTCGCTACCTGGCCAAAAAAAAAAAAAAAAAAAACGTCAAAACGCCACTAAAGTTCCTCTGTGATTTTTATTTTCTAATTTTTTTTTTTGAAAGAGAAAAAACATCTTACCTGAGGCGTTTGACAGCAAACGATATTAGACATATTTAATGCGAATTCAGAGTTGGTTCGTTCGTGTTGGAGAGAAGACGCAACGCGGCGAGGAGGCAACACGTCTTGCTGGTTTTGGTGGTCAGATGGTTTCCTCTCTGCACGAGCAAGCACGTCCGCCCTCTGTCTAGTCTGCGCGAGCTCTGACAGAATGGCCGGGTGGTGACGGGAAAGCTGCGCGCGCTCCCGCCACGCCACGCCTCCTCCTCCTCTTCCTCCTCCTCCTCCTCCTCCTCCTCTGAGGGTGATGAAATCCAGCAGTGTAGTACAGCAGCGGTTCACAACCTTTTTACTTTAAGAGACTTTCCCCTTTTTTCTATCATTAATCAGTTTTTATCATTCATATTATATTTAAAACTGTACGATTAACACAAATAGTGAACTCAGTTACTTATTCTTTAACATTGTGTAAGTAGAACAATTGTAACAAACTATCAATAAAAGTATTTCTGATTCTGTGTAAAATGAGTGAGATTATTTCCTGTGTACATTTCTCTGTCTCTTGGCCATTGTTCTATTAGAGACTTAACAGTTTACATTTACTATTCTTAACAGTAGTGAACCAAATGCCGAGATATAGGCCTACTATGTATATTTTTGTATAAGTGTATAATGTATACGTTTTCCTACACGCCTTTAAAATCAAGAAGGCCCCTGGCGACCCCTAGTTTGGGTCCCGACCCCCAGATTTTAATGTTGTAGCTGGTAAAGATGGAGTTGATTTTACCTTCTTTATACACTGTTGGGTAACTTAAACTATAACAATGCATGATATTTTATGAGATTATGAGATTTTATTAACTGTAGCTGTCAAATAATTAAATACCTAAGCAGAGGTATAAAGAAGTAATGTAGTAAAGTTCTTCAAAATTGTATCGTACTTGTGTGTACTTTGTAACATTGCATGACAGTACATCATCTATAAACCATTTGTTTTGTAAAAATAAAATAAAAATCTTTCTTTATTTAAGAAATTAATTATTTGGTGTCTTTTCCTTCAACTAGTAATGGAAAAAGTTAGAAAATCTAGGGACTTTTGAAGTAGTAAAGTTTGCAACAGTGGTAAATATTCCATTACAAATAAATAGTTGCTGCATTCAAATGTGTCCTTAAACAAGAAGTCTATTGGTAGTAAAATGTATAAACAGTGTGTATGCAAAGTAGACTATAGTTTGGTCAGAACTCCCGAGACTCTAACGTCGCATGTGTTTAACTGAAGAAGGAAATATAGAAGAAAAGAATAAAGTTCAGGCAGGAAATGAAATTAATAAGGGAATGAGGATCCACAGAAGGATGGAAAGAAGATGAAGATAGATGATATCAGCAATACTTTATGACATTGAGAAGATGTACTAGTAATGAATATCCAGCTTTGCCCTCAAGAGTGAGGTCAGTGAGCAGGTGAGCTACAAAACAGCGCCTCTGTCTGCCTTGCAGGACACTTCAGCAGGGTGGATGCCTGCTGAGTTAAATCCAAATCCACTTGGTGCTGGTTCTAACCTGGGCACTAACTTGAATGCGTTCAATTTATGCTGCCACTGTGCCAGATTTACTTGCCCCTTGTCATATTCTCATCTGCATGTGCCTGTGAGTCATTACAGCTCACCGGAACGAGCACCGCTCCATAAGTCGTTTGATGTCCATTAATAAGGAACATCCAGGCTAAACCCTCACTACTACTGCACAGACGTCATCCAGAGGAAGAAGAACTCATTCACCTGCCTTGAATGAACCGAGCTTAGTACTACCTCAGTACGTCAGTAATTAGATTAGAGGATATAAAGAGTCGCTTCAGTACCAGTGTGTCAGCCAGCCTTTGTAGCTGCATGAGGAGTGTATGTGTGCATGTGCTTGTCTGCATTTGCAAGTTGTTTGTGAAAGACCTGGCACCAAATATAACTCAGTCACAGAAAGCACAAGAGCATTTAGCCACAGCCTTAAAAGCACACTGACCATTGTGTTGAAAACCACAGTGATAACAGCCAAAGCCAAGGGGTCCAGTCAACACAGATTAGGGTTTATCAGCGCAAAGTAATCTCTTCATAACAGCCCTTGTGCTGGTATTGTTACCATGACACGCTGTGCTTCCATCCATGTGGGGGTGACATTCCTGACAAGGTGAAAGAAGTCATTGCTGGCTCATAGGCAAGAAAATAAATGGCTGGTTTCCAAGGGATGGTCACCTGCATCATATTTCACCTCTCTCCCTTTTGCAGCTGTGTCTATGTGTGACTGGATTGCAGAGGAACAGCCGCTGTACAGACAGGCCAGGAAACCAACCAGCTTTAAGGTCACCAAGGATGTTTTCAACAAAACACGCATGCCCGCATTATGCACCTTCTTATCAACATTTAAATATAAAATCCTATATACTAATGGCTTGAATTCATGAATTACAGAGTGCAAACCTCAAATCAGCACAGCTTTCTTTGTCTGAAGGTGTCTTCATTAATCATTGTAAGTTTTGTGTCTGCAAAAGCTCCTTTGGGAAGTCTGACTTCAGCATTATCTTGACTGTCTGCAAAGGTGAATGACCCCTGGCAAGCAGTCAGACCAACTCTTCAGCACAGTCAGGAGCCTCAGACAGAGAAGTGGTGATTATAGCTGATGGAGAGCGGCCAACCGGTCCAGTCTGACTTATTAGTTTCTTCAAAGGTGTTTTTAGGAATTGGATGGAACAGTGGGGGAAGCAACTGGAGAAATTGACAAATTAAATTGGTATTCAGAGTGACGTTGCACTAGACCTTTAGTGTGATTCATTCTACATGCAGATAAAGAAAGCAGACACAATTGTAGATAAATACAACATCTGAGAAGTTTACAATGTTAAATTCTTTTGTGACTGTGGTAGAGAGGCGTGGATTCAACTCTGCAGTCATTCCTTAAATGGTAGTTTGTGGTATTGCTATAATTGCTATATTTTAGGTCTGCATGGTATCCTGCTTCTTTTCTTTTCATATGAGTGGACAAAAAAAACAACACCTTAAAATATAATGTTCAAAATTAATTGAACATCATAAATGTATTATTTATTTGTTTGTTTGTTTTGTTCTGTAGATTTGTTTACTGTGGATAGTGTGTTTCTTTGTTGAGTGTATGGTGTTGCCTGCAGGTGCAGTGATGTGAACATGAATTTCCCCCTTGGAGGACAATAAACTGAATTGATTGAATTGACTGATTGATTGATTAAACATCACAAAAAAAGATAGTATTTGTATCAGATTGTATCTTAAACACAGAATTCAAAAAACTTACAGAAGGACTGCAGAGAAGTTAGAGAAGGTTGTCAACAGAAGAAAAGTTTGAAAGGTATTGGCATAACTAGCAGAACCAACGTACTATTTCTAAATGGCACTTTTAATTAAAAAAAACATCAGGCATTTAGTTGCAACCCCTGTCGTGACTACATTAAAAATTCACCATCTGTCCTTAAACACACACACACACACACACACACACACTAGTATACTGCAACAGAGCTGCCAAAGCCACCAAAAAACTGTCGAAAGCACAAACTAACAAAAGATGAAGATCGTTAACATCACATCTGTTTCTACTATTACTTTCTAGAACCATTAAATGCTCTGAAACGTGCATTTCCCTTTTCAGAAAGTCTTGGAAGCAACAACTGGGAACAACATGGCTCGCACACCAGTGTCTTATGGTCAGCTTTTCTCCTCCACAAGTCAGCATGGCTCTGTTTTGTCACAGGTGGAACATCTGCAATGAAGAGCTTAGCCTTGCTGATGTTTTTTATCCCTGACTTGTTATTACTGAATATTGAATCAGCTACAAAAACCTGCGTGGGTGTGTGCGTCGCTTCCCTCTAATTCCAACACAAAGGAAGCAGCCTTCGTTTTGCTGAGTCATCTTGTAAACTCTGGCGCCCCCTTCATTCTTTCATTCTACAGAGTTTTGTTCAGTGAGGCTGAATAAATGTGTTCTGACAAGGACACTATGAATATTTTAGGGATCTGGGCCTAGCAGTGACACGTGGCTGCTTTCTGCTGTGTGGGGATGGAGTCAAGGCAGGAGGTTTAAGTCTTGTGAAGGATTCAGAGTGACACTGCAGGGTTTAAATCTTGCCTGTGTACTTCTCATTCCAGTGATGGCCTTAAGAAGTTGTTTACTGATTTCTTATTTAGTAGCATGTGACACAGTGAAGCTTGTTCTTTTAAGTCTGCATTAATTTAATTCATTTTGCAGAATATTGAATTAATTTAATGATATCTTCCCACTGCTATATATGCAGTAGTTTAAAACTGTAACCTTCCTACCTCTCACTCTGGTGCACTGAAAAATTAGAACAGTTCCACGTGAGTGTGTAGTTACATAGTCCTCTGATAAGGTACTGATAAACTGGGAAACTCATCAAGTCAACCTTCTGACAGACCAATGCCAAAAGAGAGGCAGTGGGTTTTCAGTGAGGCCGGGTCAAAGGTGAAAAGAATGTCAGGTCTTTTTAGTTCAGTGTCGTACAAATTGTGTCATACTTTATAGTTGGTGAGGTGAGACATCGCAGTGCTTATGTGTTGGAGACACCAGACTCCAGAGAATCTTGATTATTTCCAAAGAATCCAGTAATGGTTTGTTAACACAGATATGATCTGTGCTCCTCTTTATCGTCCTGTTTCTTAAAGGAGAATGACACCTTGTGTAGAAATCACATGTGCCTCGTGACTGTTCAGTCAGTACTTATAATCATGCAGTTTTCTTTCCTAATTGGAGAAATAACTCTTTAATTTCAGTTGTTAGCCGGACACAGGCCTGCTTTCTTGTAAGAAAAAAAAAAAGGGAAGTTTCAATCCAGATTCATATGTTAAACAAACACACACTGTGTACCTTTTCAAATTTATTGCACCCCTAATAAAATCATCATACAATCCTATCTCTACTTATTATACCATCAAAGCAATCAAGTCAATATTTATACAACCATGCAAGTAGCACGTAGTTACAACAGTGCACTGTGTATGCGACGAACCATAACTCTGATAGGAATGTAGATAAATACTTTCATTCAAAACAGTCAGATGTAGACATGTCAGCTTGTAAATGAGACTCTGAAAGAGTGGTGTATGCTCAGGCAGCTTAATCTTTCCATATTTAGCTGAAAAAACCCATTAGAAACAGATTTAAACTCACTTTTTTACAAGTGCTAGACATTAGAATTTACCTCTACTCATTTAAAAAGACGGATTTTTCAAACGTGCATAGAAAATGAGGCAAAATGGAGCTGTTAATTTGAACCTGCACCACTTCACAAGCTGCAGTCCACAAAAAGAGGTGACAATGTAAGCTATCAGTTACAGTTAGATGATAAGTTGAAGGTAACACCTTCTGCTGTAACTGATAATTGCGACTACACAGACCCACAAAGGCTTGCTGTAGTCAAACACCCTCTCTAGTGTTTCCCACAGAACTGTGCCAGGCTCTCCTTTGGGTCCCCACAGGAGGAAGCGTCACAAGAGTCTAGCTTTCAGTCCCACGTAAGAACACAAAATCCCTCTCAGACTCTTTCTTTTCAGACCCTCCAGCCTCCTGTGGTCTGTCCCTCTCTTAGGAAGTGGGTCAGTTCAGTGAGAATAGAACACACACACACACACACACACACACACACACACACACACACACACACACACACACACACACACACACACACAAGCTAGATTTTGTTGGAATAAAAGACTTTGTAAATGGCACAATGGGCTGCTATCTTGACCTAGCATTGCATTGATCTCCCTGACGGACACACTGGCTCTCTGTAAATGTACTAGGTTCTCTAATTAAGTTTTAAAAAATTGATTAAGACATTGCATTAGCCTCTTATTTCTTTCTACTACATAACAGTCAGTGACATGTGACTGTGGTATGTTAGTCTTGTGTGCACAGGTAGGTTCAGAGGTCATGACCCTTGAACCCCACGCGATCATGTCTTGTCCTCTGACTTCTGCATTTAAACAGTGATGTAACAGAACCAGTCTTACCACATTTGCTGGAGTTACTTTAATAAATGCCCTAACAAAACAATAGCTAGCTCAGTTTTAAGTGAACACATTTATTCTTAGCAATTTAAGACAATTTTAACAAACTGTTAAGGTGTCACATGCAACAAGCAGTCTCTGAGACACACGCTGTTATTTAAAAGCAACATAAAAACAAGGAGGATCAATAACAGGGTGACTTGAAATGATCAATTACTTTAAAGAATATCATATCTACATCTAATGATTACTTGATCCATTGTGTGTGTGTGTGTGTGTGTGTGTGTGTGTGTGTATTTTTGTGTGATTGGAACACATGATCTCTCATACTGTCAATGCTGATGACCTCAGATGGCACCAGTTTAAAAACATGCAAATCTGTAGACTTGCATGTGACGGTGTTCGGTCCCAGATAATTCCAATCATTGGCAGCTCCTCGGTTCCTTTCGGTCTGCCTGTCGCTCTCATGCCTCTCTTGTCCTCCTTTTGTTTCAGTCCATGATTCTTCCCTTCTCTCTTTTTGGGACTACGGCTGGTGCCTGAAGTGTTGACGATCTGTTAGATGCTCATCTCTTTGAAACACATAAATAACATCAGTCATCCATTTTACTCTTTATATCACTAGCCAGTATTTCAATCTGATGCTGTGTCTCACGAGCTCTCTTCTCTTTTTCCTCGCTCGACTGTTAAAACAGGATTATCTCAGCTGAACTCATAAAACCTCATAAGTATATATGAGACAGAGCCAAGAGAACGTGTTTTGCTTTGAATTTCATGAGAAATAACATTTAATTAAAAAAGCTCTACAACGGTATCAGAGACATCCCATGACGGCCTCCAGTCAATACTGGAGGAGCAAATGCAATATATCATCAAAAAAAACACATGTTCACAACTAGAATCTGTGGATATAAATGATTTATAATGAAATCCACATCACAGGACTACAGTTTTCTGTATTCCCTAATGTACAGCAGATTCCCCAGGGTTTTGTGTTTACTCCCGGACATGTAACTGGGTAGAGAGAGGACATACAAAACAAAATAGAGAAGCAAATATGACAGCTCCCCTCTGCTTCTTGAAATGGAAACTGTAGCTGTAATCCAACCTTAAGGCTCTCATCATTTCTTGATCTTTTTTAAAATTGTGTTTATAGTTTTCAGTTTTTACATATAAGTTCAATGCAAATAGAATTTTTGTGTTTTACATACAAAAGGACAACAAAGAATAATAAATTAACTCTTAACCATAAAATATAACTGAGAGGCTGTCGGTTTTTCCAGTGTAAGAGAATTAGCCTGCGTGCTAATAACATTATAAAGGTTGCAATCATGATATAAGCTCCTCTAACAGTGCATCCAAATGGATCAGGTTCTATGACCTGCCCAAAAACATCTAATATCTCAAGCAGATTTCAGAATAACTAAATAAATAATCATATACAAAGATCTCTTGATCTTTTCCCTCTTTGTTTAGACTGCTTTTACAGTCATACTGTTGTCCGCTGTGTGAATGGTTAACTCATCAATAAAGATACATATACTTCTTAACATCCTTACTGATGTATAAATATAATATGACTTAAACTAATCAGCACTTGATTTATGTTAAAAGCTGTGGACCTCATTCTGATATGTTGATTTGAAACCCATGCACCCTTTATACCCAGTATACCCTTTGTTGGTTAATTCCTCTGTGTCCTTCTTAATGACATTTTAATATCTCACAGCTTTCCTCTAAACACACTTCAGCCATGGTGACAGTGGGGTGCTGAGAAAAGCTTCCAGCAGTACCTAATTAGTTGTGTACCAACGGCCAGCTCACCACACTGTGCTTTCCATAATGAGCTAGTTAGCAGTATCCCCTTTGAGGAATAGTACAATGATACACAGTAGTGTTGTGCACTGATGACAGTGATAGCCAGAAACCTGTTTTTGAGGCCATGGTGAATTGATGGCTTTATCAACATCAGTCAGCTGTTTCATCATACCTATCGCCATCTGTGCAATCAGCATTCGTTATGAGGTTTCATCAGTCTTTACCAATCTTATTTTATTACCCTTAAAAGTTGTACATGCACATCAACTGCCTATGACACATATGCATACCCACTCCATGCACTAGAACAATAATCTGTATATAACTATGACAACAGAGTAAACATGCAGTGAGATCATCTGGATTGTCACTTCATACACAGTTAACCATTGTCATCATCAATCATTATTCTGTTCACACTCTGATGTTCAAGGGGAATTTTCCACTGTTTAAGTCAGTTGTTTCTTCGTGGTGCCAACAACTGGGGCTTAAAGCAGAGCTGCTGATGTTGCAATGGGATTTTTCTCTGTTTGACCTGCTGATGGGGTTATCCCTAGAAGAGGTGGCAATGAAATGTGACCTAGATAACATCATAGGTCAAACTTCAACAAGTTGAGACAAGCACACACAACTTACGCACATATTGCGCGTACATGGACGTGGGCAAATACACACGCAAACAATCATGCACATCTGCACACACACAGTGGCTGTTAGCTATTAGTAATATTCTATTTAAGCAGTTTAACTTTTAACTAGTGTGCTTCCAGTGAGGAAGCCTTGCATCACTTTGACCCCAGTCACATTGATCCAGTTATAGCCAGAGTTATTGACAACTGTGTCACAATATCAGTAGTACTTCATTAATCCCAGAAAGGCAATCGCTTTACACAGAAACCGTCAGCAGCAGTACAGTAAAATATCAAGCACTGTTTACACAGACTGATTGTAGAAGATACACAGTCCACTTTATAATCTTGTCACACTGGTAAGCGGTGTGGTAAGAGCTGAGAAAGTTGCTACCTGAGATTCAACCTTATCAGCACAGCTGTCTGGGTTAAGGAGCTTAACTCTGAATTAATCAAAGGCAATACAATGAACTGGAACATTTTAGATTTTCTACTGATTAACAGGACAAATGATTGGACACAGAGTCACAATTCTAACTAAATGGTGAGAGCTTCAGTATTGAGTAGCAGAATAAGTAGGTCTGGACATGTGCATTAATGTCCTTTCTAGGACAGTTGTCTCTTAAATTAAAATTTTTTATTTTTTATTTATTTGACTGGGAAGGTTCATAAAGAGTTTATAGCTCCTGTCAATTTCCAGCTCTTTTCCCTAGTTGAACTTTTACGTGTACAGTGAAAACAGTTTTGAAAAGGGGAAATAAGTCTGGAATGATGTCTCGTTATGTTCGGCACAGTTTTAATATGTGTTGTGATTGAACATGCTTCGTACTTTCTTGTGGTTCAAATGCTTCAGAGATACATTTTCATATTCACTTTTGTATCAAGACAGGTTGTCTTTGTTTGATGAACTTTTACAGGAAGTGCTCGTGCTTGTTGAAGTAAATTGAGGATTAACTGAGCAGGCAGATGATGTTGAATTGTATTCCATCTGAGCAGTGCTGTAACAGGAGATGACAGTACATGCTGGAGAGTGTGATTGTGGAGCTGTGGAAAGATGGAGTGCTAATGCATGTTGATATGTGGTAGTTCTCTGTCTAGCTTTCACATTATAGACCCACACATACATTCAAACACAGTATGTTTTCAGAACACTTCCAACAAACAAGGGAACAAAGGGTTGTCATTCTGTTTGAGACTCATACCCAGTAAACTGCAGAGGTATGAACTCACATTGATGTCTCCTGTCTAGATTCAACAGCCCAAACAGAAATAGAGACAGTGGCCTTGATCATACGTCTGCACTCTCTGCTCATTCAAGTGTATAATGACAAGACCGTGTGCTTATCTTGTAGAAAATGTGTAGATCATTCTCCATGCTGTTGTGTTATTCAAGAGGCTTCTGTTTTTATCATTGTTGTCTGTGATGTGTTTTGTTATGGCACCAACAGCAAATGTCAGCAAGCATATTCCACCGTGGCAGACAATAATATTTACTTTAGAAATTGGATCATAACAAATCCATGGCTGTCTTGCTCTATATAGGCTATACATGAAAATACATAATTGAGCAAGGCACAAAAATGAAATTGCATTTAGGAAAATAACTTATTTATGGATAATTATATAACAATCTCCACAGTATTATATAATAAACATTGCATATATTATATAATGCATAATAATTATATTATTTTGCCTTTTTGGCCATATAAATTGCAAAAACTGACTTGTGGAAAGGTGAAGTTAAAGAGTGGAGTTAGAGTTAATATTAAAAATAAAAATCTAAAAGGACAGTAGTTTCCAGCGGTGAGACAGCAACGTGAGGTTCTTCTTAAAATGAATTTACAGGCTTTTTTTGTAGATGCATTAATAATGCAGCTGCTTCAGATACAGTCCCGTATTATGACTCGGTTCCACGTGTATCTTGTGTTTTTCTCAATGTCACATTCCAGCAGTGAAGAGGAGTGTTGATTTTTAATCATGAGCTTGTGTTTTGGCCAAAAACAATAACTTACTTTTTACAATCCTTTCTTTGGCCTTCTTACAGGTCTCACCAAGCTGTTTTCATGTTGGGTGAAGACAGACAAACAGTCCCCACTGTGAGGACAGATTGCAGTTGTTGACTTGAGGTCAGCTTGAACCATCATGTTTTCTAGGCCATGGTTGCAATCACTTCATTCTTTTGGTTTGGTTAAAGGGGATTAATAAAATAGCATTGGTTTTTCCATTACTCCCAGACAGTTTAATACATTTTGGTGCTGAGAGAAAAAGAAATCAAGAAAACCACTTTGGTTGAGCTAAAATGGAACTTTTTAACCTCTGATACACAACCAATGCAACATTGATCACTTCAGGCCACAGACTAAATGGCCCCGTCCCGTACACTTAATGTGTATCCCCTATGAGTCAACTCAACATAGTTTATAGACAAACAATGGATTTATGGAAATTATATTGAATAGATATGTTTCTGTTTGGGTTTGATCCAACGCCCACAAAGGTGCATCTGGTTTGAGAAATCTCTGCAGGTTGTTTTACTCAGTCACTGAATATTTGGATAATCTTCTGCCTTCTTCCATCACTGTACATGTAGATTCACAGCTATTAAGATAAACACACTTCCAACCTTTTTTCATTAAGGGACCACTCTTCTCTCATTGCGTAAACTGAAGAAATAGTACAGTACTACTGATAAACTGTACAATTAAACCAAATAGTGAACCCAATAACTACAGGAGGTTTGTGTAAAACAAGCTATTTGGATGAATTTTGATTATTTTAATATTGGGTCAGAGATTAGTTTTCCTGATATTTTAACAGTCATACGTACTTAATAGGCTTCTTTTTTGAGTCAGTATTTTCTTCTCTCTGACACCTGGCAAGTGAAGGTTTTGTGCCTTTACAGTTTTTTACAATTGTTTACACACTAAAATAAAAATTTCCACATAATTTGCGAAATTCTACTCCAAGGAGCAAAACACCTCCACAGATTTGCACAACATTACACACAATGTCTGCTTCACCCTTTTTGCAAAACATTACACACAGTGATTTGTAAAACTCTACACACATAAATAAATACTTGAAAATATTCAGTCTGCAGCATCAGTGTTGTGCAGTGCTTG